ATATATTTACATCATTTAGATAATTGATGTATCTATTAATATTTGGTAAAATCACTTTTCAAAATGATACAAATCTTACATCAATAGAAACTGATGTAAAATTGTATTAAGGAGGCATTTTTAAATTGTCTCACATCGACAACTTCTTAAGAAGGGATAAGAATCTATCCTTTATAAATAGGTTAACCCATTTTCTAATAATTGAGTATAGTGGTCTCACGAAATCTTAAGTCAAATAATTTATTTGAATGATATTGTTGACGTTTAAATTTATTCTTAGAATAAGATTATAATTAAAATAATTTTCTTATTAAATAATAAAAATAATTATTATAAATTTTACAATTATTAAAATCACTAATGAAATTTGACACTAGTTTTAGTATCAATTATTTATAAATGATGAAAATATTAACATCATTTATACAAAGTGATTTAAAAAGGTAACATCATTTTTTGTAATTGATACAAAATTAACATCAATTATAAAAACTGATGCAAATATTATGTATAATTACATCAGTTGTCAACAAAATGATGTAAATTATTTGCATCATTAATTTTTAAATCATTTACTTAAGTGATGTAAACTTCTCAATTATATCAATTATATCAATTCTTTTACATCAATTATAAGTAATACAAATATTCAAAATAAGTGATATAAAATGATCTTTTTTTTTGTAGTTTATCAACCTGTTTTATAAAATAAAGGGCTATATTAATTTAAATCCACAATTGACCAAATAATTAGATTTAAATCCATGGTAATTTGAAAATTAGAAAAGTAGGAAAGAGAAAGAAAATGTAAACCAAAAATATCCTTCTTTTTTGGATTAATTACTAAAATGCCACTGATTAAAATAAGGTTAATATGTGGGTGACACTGTTCATTTCGACATGATAATATGCAGATGACACATGCTAAATAATTTAGTATCGCGATAAGTTATAAATTATATGTTAATATAAAATAATAACGTGCTAACATATTACATATCTGAATAATATTTGTATGAACATGGTAAAATATTCTATATATGGATAATATTTATATTAACATGTAACTTATACAACGTATGCTCAAATTTATCATATTAAATCGTTGACTATTTGATTGGTATCAACTAATTTATATTAAAACCTGTTTATTTACTCTAATAATTAATTATAACCGTTAACTTATATATTAGCATACTTATTTATAATGATAATTTAGTTATCATGTTTAACTTATACGTTAGCATTTTTGTATGTGTTGCTAATTAAATTGTTACCCATATAACAAAATCGAACCCAGAAAAATGAGACAATAGTCGTTGCTGCCAATGATACCAATTTCCCTCTTTTGCTCAATAAACCTCATCAAAACCCAGCTAACAAATTATTCATTCACAATTCTGCTGGGTTTCGAAATTACCACCGAGATTTGAAACTACCATTGTGTCTTGGTTTCAACCTTCATGGAATCGAAGTCGGGACAACCAAAATCGACCGGTTCTCTCTGTCACAAAATCAAATCGACCATTATCATTTTTAAACACAGCTTGAACCATGACGAATGTGACATTGATCGTTTTCCACCGACAAAATCTATTCTTCTCCCTTGATTTTTGTTTTCGCCGAATTAAAACTACCATTGTCACAAGTCAACCACACAACTCACGAATTTGCTTATCCGGCCAGCTTTGGCTCTCTGCAATTTTGTTTCTGAAACCATTTTAATTTTTTTGTTGAATTTTTATGGGTTTAGATTGCAGTAGAAACCGAAGAGAGAAATGAAAGAGAAAGAGAGACATGAAAGAGAAAGAGAGATACATTAGGGATTAGATTGTCATTATGACATATACAGTAAATGTCAAAAAGTGGTGAGGAGAGAGAACTAAATAACGAGTCATCTATGATCATAGATTATAGATTCCCTAAAATAAACTAGAATTACAAGTCTAGCTTCATACACGCAAAAGTCAAAACGTTTACAATGAACAACTTGTGTTTTGTCGAAGCGGCCATCTCAAAATTATAGCGTTCTAATCTACCACAATATATATCATATTTAAACTTATAATTTATATTTACATCATAAAAAATGTAAATTTGATATGAATCACGCATATCATTATGATAATTCATATTTCATACCATATAAATTAGGTATTTTTCTCATTCGAGCATCTTATTAAAATTCATTTGAATAACGAAAATAACTTAAAATACCCGCACACACACACACAAAATAATTGATTCGTTATTGATCGTGATCTATGAGCAAGCGTACTCAAAATACCCGCATACACACACAAAATAATTGATTCGTTATTGATCGTGATCTTTGAGCAAGCGTACTCCTTCTCTAATCATCTACTATAAATGTTGATGGGCTACATGGTCACAATCTCGGGAAAAGGGGATTTTCATACCCGTACTATTGGGACCGTGGATTTTTATACCTCGACATTTTTGTAGTGTATTTTCCAACCCAAACTGAAATAAAATTTGAATTTCATACCTGTATTTGATAAATCGTGCAAAAAACGAAGTCAATCTAATGGGTGTTAGTCAACTCCGTTACGATGATGAGTCATCGTACACGTGTACGCTGACGTGTATCCCATACGACGTCGTTTTAATAATTGTTCTCAAAAGTTTAAATTTTTTGCAAAATCAGGGATTCGAACCCATGACCCTTGGCCACACATCAAGCACCTTTACCAATTCATCCCACAACTCTAATCGAACATTCCCCAATCATTTTAATTTATAAACCTTAATAGTTGTGTGTTTGGAAATAAAATTTTATTTGGATATTACATCAAAAGTAATAATATCTAATAGATATGAGTGAATTTATTTATTGTCAATGGATTTTAAATTAGAAAGACCCACAAACTAAATATGATATCGAAATTCTATTTGTTAAATCAAAGTAAAATAGTCAAATAATGATTTACTACCGGTCTTGATATAAGAGTTGGCTCAAAATAGTTTGATAAAAGAATATTTTTCTTGAATTCAAAAGTTAAAAAGCAAGAAACTTGACACATTTCTTTAATTTTCTTAACATATTAATCATATATAAATGATGATGGACATGAGTTGAAAAGCAAGAAACTTGACACATTTCTTGAATTTTCGTTAATGTACCCCTGATTATTTCAGTAACTCTCATTCTCTTCACATGTATTATACTAACGTATCTTTCATGTTTGATACGTGCCAGTGGCCACGTATACCTACATATTGACATATACGTATCTACACACTCAGAGAAAATCTTATACAGTACATGCATATATATGAAAGTCGACTATTTAACTGGAGAACACTTGAAATACAGCAGCCTTAAAAAGATCCAAAGAGAGAGTGTAGGGTGGTGAAAACAGATAAGGAAGCCGATCGAGTACATATGAAAACAAACACAGCATAACATTAAAATTGAAGTTACAAGAAAGCATTTACCACGTTTGCTACATCCTACACGAAGGGAAAAAAAATCTGGATCACTGATCATATTGATATATAATTTGATTGCATGGTTTAGAAGATTAACGCGGAGCAAAGAGAGCAACAGCATTTGCCACTATTGTAAAGTTTTATGGGACCAGTTTTATTTATGTCTTTTTTTATTAATACTTTTGCTGCTACTGAACTATCAATTTCGTTTGGAAAATATTATAGTAGCTTAAAGCATTTAATTTTGAAATATATCTGTCTGAATAATTATATAGATTTGATTCAATAAATGGCGTGATCGAGGAATGTGGTCCTCCAAGAGACACACACTATATAATTTTCTCAGTCTTTCCTTTTTGGACCATTTAATTTTCATGTAAATTGGACCACTTATCTCGTATTATCCCCATCTAATCTAGTATCAGATCACTTCACGTATTACCTAATTAGCTCTGAACGATTTGTGTCATCTGTCTATTAATACAATGATAGTTTCCTATGTATTATAACACGGGCCTTATGAAAGCCCATTAGGATATGCGTGTAAAGCATCGGCCCACTAATTTTAAAATTTCTTTTAAGAACAAAAAAAAAAACTTCGAGCAAAATTGGAATTTTAGAAACGATTGGATGATTTTTCAAAATTGGTAGCTTCTCCAACTTTCTGCGTATAGCCGTTAACTACCAAATCACAATTGTCGGGTTCGTGTATAGGCTCACAATGTAACGCTTGTAATTTATGCATGCACGTAAAGTATGTTTGTATTATTAAATAATGAATGGATTGGATTATATATGTGATTTCTGATAACCTGATGAGTGGTGCTACATTATTATAGCATGAGACAAGCTAACCCTCATATCTTCGACACTTGGACGTACCTAAATGATGTTTGGTCTTTCATTCATTATGCAATCATATAGATAATAACACCAAACCCAATTTTAGGAAGATTGTTGGATCATTGTTTTGTTAGGAATACTAGTTAATAAGAACTGAAAATACTATTCATATTGCTAAGATAACTGTTCAAGTATATATGGATCATTTTTTTATTTCATATGAATTAGATTAATTTGTTTATCAGAATTGAACATTACTATAACATTACACCAAAAAAAAAAAGAATTGAACATTACTATCTTTATTTTATTGTTATCATTTTCCACTATTATATACTCCATCTGTATTTGAAAAAATGTCGTTTCAACTGTTTTTGGGTGAATTAAGAAAGGACACAGAATTACAAAACTAACCTTATGAGAAACGATTATTTACAATTATATTTTATATTTTTTAAATCAATTAAGAAAGGACACAGAATTTTATGAAAATCGATTCGTATCTGTAGTTTTGGTAATTTAGACTGATTAATTATGATCAATTGATTGAGGGTAATTTAGAAAATTTTATGCAAAAGTTTTTAAAATGATAACTAATTAAAAACACAGAAAAAAGGCTAGAACGACATTTATTCAAATACGGAGGGAGTATGATTTACTATATCCCTTATAAAAGATTACTATTTATATAAAAAGTCACACCTTCTAGAAGCCGAATCCCAGATAAGTTGCATACAATCTCTTTGTCTTTTTTAGTTTATATTATAATTAAAAAATCTCTTTATTAAAGCGGCCAAGAAATCTGATTTAGCAACGTTATATATCTCTTCTCATATATACACATGTACATGTAAAGAGAGATTCATTTGTGTGTTGTGCTTGTGTTTTTGTAATATTCCAGGAAAGGAAAAAAAAATCAAATAATGAACATGACAAAGAACAACGTCGTTGAAGTGTCACCATTTTTGTTCATGGAAGCATCTGCAGATTCCGAGACGACCCATCAGGAACGTGGACACGATGGAGATGATGTGAAAGGTCGTGAAGAATGTGGTGAAGATGCTGAGTCATGCAGGTGCGAGACGTCAACGAGTCAAAGGACGAGTAGGTCAACGGATTTTGACCCGGTTGAAGAAGAAGCTGACGTCGCCGGAGAAAATGAAGATGACGATGAGGAAGACGGAGAGGTGAATAGTTATGGGAGAGACGGCGAAAAGCTGACAGTTGATTCATCTTCGAGGTTGATGAGTGAGATTGAAAAAAGTCGAATGTTTTGGGAAGCTTGTTTGGCTTCTTAATACGTACAGTATATATGTTATATATTCTGTATTATTCTACATTAAGTTATAGACTTATAATCGGTTACGTGTTTGAATGTATTGATGAGATACATCTGTTGTAAATTTGGAGTAGTAATATACATGTGATTTCCCGACTTATAGCGTATAGATGTTTTTCTTTTTCCCTTTTGTTCCGTTTATCTAATGTCTCATCATATACCATGCACTAGTTTCCGGTTAAAATTTGAAAGGCAAGAAAAGCAATCGAGAGAGAAGAAAAAAAGAAGTTGTCGACCCTATGGGCTAACTAGTAAAAAGCCCATTAAAGCTAAGTGTGTGTAAAAGGAAAACTCTCGCTTCACTAAACGTCGCCGTTTAGGCAATCATCGTCCCTTTAGTTTTTTTGGTCTTCTCGATGCTTCCTTAATCTGGGAAACTAGCTTCTTCGAATCTCAGAGCTAGCTTTTCTTCTCTAATTGGTAGACGAAACTCCTAAGTATATACCTTCCAAAAACCCTCACTTCAAGTATTTGTTCTTCCTCTCTTTGGTTTCGTTTTTTTCTCCCTCAAATTTCTGGGATTTGTTTTGAACGAAGAAGATGACGATGCTGAGAATCCGAAGCAGAGATGGATTGGAGAGAGTGAGCGTAGATGGACCTCATATTACAGTCTCCCAACTCAAAACCCTAATCCAAGATCAGCTTCAGATCCCTATCCATAACCAAACCTTATCCACCAATCGAAACCTTCTCCTCGCCAAAACCCCTGCTGATTTCCTAGGGTTCACCGACATGGCCGATCCAAACCTCCGAATCTCGTCTCTCAATCTCGCCCACGGCTCTATGCTCTTCCTTGCTTACGAAGGTGAGCGCACGATTCGTGGTGGTCCTGCCGTTACACCTGCTGGTTCCTTCGGGAGGAAGATGACCGTTGAAGATCTAATCGCTCGGCAGATGCGCGTCGGTCGCCAGGAGAAGTCTCACTGCGATTCCGTCTCGTTCGATCGCGATTGCGCCAACGCGTTTCAGCATTACGTCAACGAGTCGCTTGCCTTCGCTGTCAAACGCGGTGGATTCATGTACGGTAACGTCTCTGAGGAAGGTCAGGTTGAGGTGAATTTCATCTACGAGCCACCGCAGCAAGGGATGGAGGATAATCTGATTCTGATGAGAGACTCTGAGGAAGAGAAACGTGTTGATGCTATTGCTTTAGGGTTAGGGATGAGGAGAGTTGGGTTTATATTCAACCAGACTGTGACTCAGGACAAGAAGGAGTACACTTTGTCTAACGTTGAGGTGTTGCTCGCGGCGCAGCTTCACGCCGAGAGCGAATTGAAGGAGTGGGTCACTGCGGTTGTGAAGCTTGAGATCAATGAGGATGGTGCCGCTGATGTTCACTTCGAGGCGTTTCAGATGAGTGATATGTGCGTTAGGTTGTTTAAAGAAGGATGGTTCGAGACTGAGATTGGATCCGAGGATGATCCCAAGCTCTCCAAGTTGAAGAAAGAGGTTGTTGTTGGAGTCAAGGACGTTAAAGAAGTCGATAATGATTTCTTCCTTGTTCTCGTCAAGATCTTGGATCATCAGGTTCGTTTTTCTACCTTTTTTTAGCATATGGAATCACAGTTTAGGTGGGAACTTGGTGGTAATTGATTGGTGATAGGAATCAACGGATGATAGATAACTTGTGAAATTTTAATCTCTGCGATTTTCTGGTATGAGTGCAGAGCTTGATTAGCCTTTGCTAGGAAGAACAAGTTTTATTTAGATTTGACTGTTATGAATTTACAAGTATCATGATTGTTTTGTTTATGTTGATGTATAATTGTGTATTTGGTTGTGCAGGGATCGCTGTCGTGTACCTTCCCTATAGAGAACCGGAACATTCAAACAACAATGCGGGCTTTGAAAACGCACATGGAGCGAGCAAGGAGCCTCCCATTTGTGAAGAGGATCTCTGATTTTCATCTGCTTCTCTTTGTGGCTCAGTTTCTAGACGTATCATCCGACGTCCCTGCGTTGGCTGAGTGCGTCCGTCTTCAGTCTCATGTCCCTGAGGGTTATGAGTTGCTCATCGACTCCATGGCCAATACTTGTTAAATTTTACAAGTCTGTGTGTTCATATCCTCTCCTTCAGATTTGTGTACAACTTTTACTTCTTCCCTTAAATTTAAAACTAAAGGAGAAAGATTTAGAAAAGTTAAGTTCTTAATTAAGTGGTACTTTTTATTGGATTATCCTGTTCAAAGTTCCATGAAACACGTACTAGTTATATTTCACAGATAAGTTGTTGTATTAAAAACGATGTGTTGGAGATGCGGGGGATCGAACCCCGTGCCTCTCGCATGCAAAGCGAGCGCTCTACCATTTGAGCTACATCCCCATTTGATATTATGTCGCCGAGCTTTACAAAATAAAATCAACGTAATATTAAAAATTGGATTGTTCCTAGGGCTGGGCTTTTAAACCGAACCGAATGTACCGAACCGAAACCGAAGCAAAAAAAACCGAACCGAACCGAAAATTTGAAAATAACCGAATGGATACTAAATTTGATAACCGAAATAACCGTAACCGAATCGGTACCGAACCGAAATACCCGAAATACAATTATATTTTCGAAATAATTAGTTATTTATTGACCAAATAATCAAAAATACTTGAAAAATCTATAAAAATAGTAAAAATACTCAAAAATAACCAAAAAATATTCGAAAATACTCAAAAATAACCGAAATATCGGAAAATATCCTAAGCAAAATAACCGAATGGATACTAAATTTTAAAACCGAAAGAACCGGAACCAAACCGAAACCGAACCGAAATTTCAAAATATCCGAATAGATACTAAATTTTAAAACCGAAAGAACCGAAAACCGAATGGATCCAACCGATAACCAAACGGATAACCGAAAGCCCAGGCCTATTTGTTCCAGTCCAACTTCTGTCTTAAAGCCCAAACCTTCGATGTTGGACGGTTGCTTTTCATGACAAAAAACGACAACTTAAGAGCGGACAGCAAACAAAATACTTTTTGTCGTCTTCTTTCACTTTTGAAAATTTATCCCAAAATCAAAAAGTCTGATAGTGGGGAAGACTTGGGTTAAAAAGCTCGTTCAACACACATTAGTCTGTCTATTTCATTTTTTTTATTATTTTTTAAGGGAGCTCGAGATAAGCATATCTCCATTGAATTATCATGCTTACAAAACTGATGATAGTATTGAAATATTTTATTTAAATGTACATTTTCTTGGTCTTTGATACTTTGTTATATACCATAATCCATTTATTTCTTTATTTTCAGAATCAAAACCTATACATGACGAAATTTCAAAAGTGTAACTAGAATCTCTATGAGGGAAATGAATTATTGGACATACTCGACCAAATCTCTACGAATCAGGGAAGAAACCCTAATTCATTTGAACTATTATTGTTAGTTGATGAATATCTCTGAATAAATGCGTAGTCAAACATTGAAGTTTCGAATATTAGTGTTTCTTCCAAAGCCTGATTAATTGAGTTCCATATTATTTCCCTTCCCAAACGATAGTGGAAGAAAATACTAATTAATGAGCGAAAGTTTTATTCATTTTGGAAAGGTAAGGAGTGGAAAATGTGAGCACACGCACCAAAAAAGACAAAATAGATGACGACAAAATTAAGAAAGCCTCATATAGACACGCGAATCATATACCTTAGCGTGTTCTCCTTTTGATCCTCTTTTTTTTTTTGGTTGATTGCTTTAGTTAAAAAAAAGAAATGGAATTTTAATTCAAAAAATTAATCAACATCACCTTCTAAAAAGCTAAACCGTCCCATATTATTTTAACTCTTTATATATATTTAAATATTCTTATATTATAAATTTTTTATTGATTTTAAATATATAAATTATAATATTTAAAATTTCTTAAAAACTCGTTCCGTTATATAACTTTGTCTACCAATATAACCCGTCTCGTATTATTGTAACTCTTTATATAGGTACAAATGTTCATAATATTATAAACTTTTTATTGTTTTTAAATATTTGAATTATATTATTTAAAATTTTTTAAAAGTTTAAATTTAACATTTCCGATAAAATGAAGCAGGTAAACCAAAAAAATAAAATGAAACGGTATATAATTTTAAATTTGGATGCTTATTAAGTTGAGCTTTTTGTTCATTCTTGAATTCATTTTGATCTAATTTATAATATGATTCTGAATCAATATTTAAACATTTTAGCCAATATGGCACGTTGAACAAATACCTTTTCATCAATTGGGTAAATATATATCCGTTTTAAAAAATTTGAATCCCAATATAACGATTCAAAACAGTTTAAAAATGACAAACAAAGATGATATGAGAATTATATTTCTAAATCTTAACCAAATCTTCTAAATATTTATATTATTAATATAGAATATCCGGTTCATAATTTCGGATATGTTTTGACCCGATCCAATAAAGATATGAACTATCCGGTGTAAGATTTATGAAGGAAATTTTTATCTGGTCGGATACCAAATTTGTCGGATAATAATTGAACCCATCCGCTAAAAATTTACACTACAAAATACTAGTATAGATTGTGATAACAAATTACAAAACAAGAGACGTGCGAAAATAAAAAAACTAAGTATCCGTTTCATATTTATCAATTTGTCGGTCTATAGAGGAGATTATTTTAATCTAATCATACTTTCATTCACATTTCGTTATATGTTTTTTTTTTTAAGAGAAACGGTCTAAGAATTATTTCAGAATACATTTTAGGTATTACATGCGAAACACCAAATGCCCAAACATAATACTATAGCTTTTAAGTCGTTATGTCCAATTACCTCTTAATATTTGTATGTAGTTGTAAAAATACTAAGGCTCCGACTGGTAACCATTAAAAGAACAAAAAGAAATTGATAAAAAAGAACAATGCGGAATGGAACAAACAATTTTTGAGGAACGAAAAGGAAAAGATGCAGAGAATGTATAAAATGTACTATTATGATGAATGGTAACCAAACAATAAAATTATCTTTAAAGATATATTAAATAGTAAATAAATCAAATTTCAATGAAAACTACTAAATATTTTTTATATTTATTTAATTTTATATTTAATTTGAAACTAAAATTTGTGAACTAAATTTATATATATCATTTTAAATAATAATATTTAATATTAACATAAAATAAAATTGAAAGAGTAATTTAAAATATATTATTCTTGTACAATATAAACATTTTTAAATTTATTTTGCTATTTATATAATTTTCAAATGAAGACTTAAGAGTAATTCAGCATGAAATTCTTATCAAAAATATTCTTTCTGTTAATATATTGTGAAGATATGAAAATTATTATATAATAAAATACAAATATTATTGATAAATATTATTTTTTCTTTATTTTAAAATAAAAACTAATTTTAATATTTGTTTTTTTTGTTCCTCATCAAATTTGGAGAGAAATATTTTTTTTTCTAGTGTTCTTCTTTTGGTGAGGAATATAGAGGAATGATGTGGAAAAAATATTACTTGTAAATGGTAAAAATATCGAGGAACAAACTTCCCACGAAAACAGAACTATCATTGTGGGGAGCGTTACATTCTTTTTGATTTTTTTCCTAAATTATAGTTACCAATTAAAGCTTAGGAAAATTAAGTTGTATCGGGACAAAACAACGGCTGAGATCTACTGTTTTGGTCCCATCATCGAGAGATTCATGGTTCTGATTTGTCAAATCCAAGAGATAGACCAAAAAGCAACATTATAGGACCTATCTTGTAAATTAACGTCGTTATTTTTTATTTTTTGGGTTCGCAGCGCAGCCACCAAAGTAGGACCTGTTCCTCAGTTCCCTTACGTTTTAACTAACCTTGATTTTTTTTTAATTTAATTGTTGATTAATTGTTCGGATTCTAACACCCGCAAAACTTTCGTTGAACCTTCTTTTGAATAATCATAACTCCATTAAATTTAATTCATACGTAGTTGTTTAATTTGATCAATATTGCGGTTTTATGTCCTAATGCATTGAATCTCCAGTTTAAACAAGGGTAATTTATTATGCTAGAGAGATAAGGAAGAGAGAAAAGAGGACCTTTGGGTATAGTCAGAAGGTTTTGTCTTTTTGACAGAGAGTTACTGGCGTGTGACGGCCACGCGCTTTTTGTCACACCACGACAAAATCTTAAAGCCCATTCCCACATTCCACCTAATGGGCCCGTATTAAGTTTTTTTTTTAAACAAGTCAAAGGATTTGAATTGGAGCGGCCGATTTATATATTTTCCAAGCGATATTTTCTCCAAATAAGAGGATTTAAAATGACAAGTCAAATGTGGAAGTCCCTTTCGTTCATTGGTTGATCAAGGGTTGATTAATGTTTCTATACCAAGAAGTATGGGTTCGAATCCTAGATATAATGATTTATTAACAAATTTGCAGATTAGTGGAAGCAAGTGTGCAAGAAATTTCCAGCAATGTACAATTATAGCCGTTCGCCAAGATTTTATGCCGAAAAGGAAGTGTCGCCAGATCGTGGATCATTGAAAATATTCATCAAGATCACAAAAAAGAAAGTATAGTCTATCGTGAAAGTATGCAAACATGAGACATATACAATTGATTTAATAGAATCGTAAAAAGCAGTTGAAAAATGAGTAAATGACAGAACACGATCAGAAGTCAAAACCTAAGAAGTACAAAATAGCTAAAATTAATTATATACACACATATTTCGAATTAACGTATTAAAAATAAAGCAACATATGATAAGTAAAGTCGTACGTTCAATGATATTATGAGGTTTATTCTTTTCACTTTTGAAAAAACCTATAATTGTATTATTATTAATATTTAGAAAAGAAATAAAACGCACAAAAGAAAAAAACTAAAGAGAAGTGAAAATCCAAGGTTGAAAGAGAGGGTCCCTGACAGAAGGCATGATGTCATCCGCCCAAAATAGAACACGTTTAGACAGTAGTGGCAATTACTCGTAAAATTTGCATAGAGGACGAGGGTAGTTTCGGGACATCACATATGTTTTAATTAACCAAAAGAAAACAACACAACCCTTTTGTCGCCACATGCCATGGCGTTGGTCGCACGCTGGATAGCCTTTTTTTTTTGGTTTGTCACCTTCCCTTAAAAATTAAATTAATTCTCTAATCTATTAATTTTACAATTTGCATTCACATTTATATAATAAAACAAACCAAAATAAGCTCTCTTTGTCTTTCACCCATCACAAGTCACAACCATCAAATTATAAAAAAAAAAAGAAAAACAAGATCCAAAACTTTATGTTAGAAATTTTCTCTTTATCTTTTTAAATAGTTTAAAGCTGGCCTTACCATAACTTTTTTTTTGTATTATATATCATTAGATGATGAATGATCTTTTCGATCAACTTTCTTTTCTTTTCTTGTGAATACGTGCTTAAAATTCGTTTCATGTCACATGGAACCAATTGACAAATGGAACAGTATAAAATTATGAAGAGTATAATTGAAAAGAAAATATCACAAAATGCTAGTAGAATAGAAAGAAATCGTGGAATGTAAAAGGAAGAATATATATATATATATATATATATATATATATATATATACATACTCGTAGACAACAAAACCAAAGAAAAATGCAAGAAAATAAATAATTGGGCATTAAGTGCAATGTCACAAAATGACAAAATTGTATAATATGATTAAAAAACCACATAGCCACATAATATTGTTTTGTGCCAACGTATAAATAACGTGAAAAAAGAAAAAAGAAAATCCGTAATAAAAAAAAGGGAGGGAGGGAGGTGGTCAAAAGGAGCACTAATGAGAGAGTGTCAGGACTGGCGTGTCCATTAGCCAATTGTAATCCCTTCTCTCTCTCTTCACATGACACCGTGGCGGTCTCTTTTGTTTTTTTAAACACGTATTTTTTCATATTGATATTATTAATACTACTAATATTTATTTATTCGACTATTATTTATAAATGTTTTTTTTTTTTTAATGTGCCGACTAAAATCAATTTTACCTTATCGTCCGTCGTCCGTCGACAAAATTTATTTATTTATTTATTTAAAAAAAAGAAAAAAGAATGGATTAGTAGAAGGAGAGAAGGAAACAGTAAAAAAGGGAGGGTCCATTGGTCTTCCTTGTTCATTTCCTAATAACCTCTCTCTATCTCTCTCACCTTTGACTCTCTCTTTCTCTCACTACTACTACTACCATCAACGAGCCCCAGCTCTCTCTGTCTCTCTCTCTCTCTCTGGTTTCTCTGTACTTGCCTTGCTATCTTCTTTTCTCCAGCTCTCTTTTTCTCTTTTCTGGGTTTGTTTTTAAATCTTCTTCTTCCATCTCCACTGCTTAATAACCTCCCCGGCTGCCGATAGAGTGAGGGAGAGAGTCAATTACTGGTATGAGTTCTTCGTTTCATTGAAATTATACACAACAACAAGATTACAAATATTTGCTCCAACTATGGCTGGTGGAAACGAAGTCAACCTTAACGAATGCAAGGTACTTACTTTCTCCTCTCATCCCAAAAACTCTCCCTTTTTTGCCATTTTTGTTTTCTTCTTCCTTGCCCTCGGTTTATTTGCTTCTCTTCAATTGAAGATCATATAGATTCACCTGTACGGATGAATTTTGTTTTTCTTCCAAAAAAAAAATCTAAGACGTCCCATCATATCCTCTCTAATGTTTTTATTTTTATTTTTTTGCTCTCTGTAGAGAATTGTCCCACTCAACACATGGGTCCTCATTTCCAATTTCAAGCTTGCTTACAAAGTCCTCCGTCGTCCTGACGGTTCCTTCAACCGCGACCTCGCCGAGTTTCTTGACCGTAAAGTTCCCGCTAACACTTTCCCTGTCGACGGCGTTTTCTCCTTCGACCACGTCGACTCTACCACTAACCTTCTCACCAGAATCTACCAACCTGCGTCTCTCCTTGACCTGACCCGTCACGGAACCCTCGAGCTTACCAAACCTCTCAGCACTACGGAGATCGTCCCTGTCCTCATTTTCTTCCATGGAGGTAGCTTCACTCATTCCTCGGCCAATAGTGCCATCTACGACACTTTCTGCCGACGCCTTGTCACCATTTGCGGTGTTGTTGTTGTCTCTGTTGATTACCGGAGATCGCCTGAGCATCGCTACCCTTGTGCTTACGACGATGGATGGAATGCTCTCAAATGGGTCAAGTCCAGAGTCTGGCTTCAGAGTGGTAAAGACTCCAATGTTTATGTTTATTTGGCTGGAGATAGCTCAGGAGGCAACATAGCTCACAATGTTGCTGTCAGAGCAACGAAAGAAGGAGTCAAAGTGTTGGGGAACATTCTTCTTCACCCAATGTTTGGTGGACAAGAGAGGACTGAGTCTGAGAAGAGCCTTGATGGCAAATACTTTGTGACTATACAGGATCGAGATTGGTATTGGAGGGCTTTTTTACCTGAAGGTGAAGATAGAGATCATCCAGCATGTAATCCCTTTGGCCCGAGAGGTCAAAGCCTTAGAGGTGTCAACTTTCCCAAGAGTCTTGTCGTTGTGGCTGGTTTAGATCTTGTTCAGGATTGGCAATTAGCTTACGTGGATGGCCTTAAGAAGAATGGTCTTGAAGTGAATCTCTTGTATTTGAAACAAGCTACCATCGGGTTTTACTTCTTGCCTAACAATGATCACTTTCATTGTCTTATGGAAGAGTTGAAAAAGTTTGTGCACCCCATAGAGGATTCTCAAAGCAAGTCAAGTCCTTTGCTTCTTACTCCGTAGGAACAACAACAACAAGGTCTAGTCATGTTGCTGATATATACATAAAGAGAAGAAGAAAGAGGATCGGTTTGTTTTGCCTATATATCTATGATGGGGTTTTGTACAGTTTCCACAAGTGTTGTCTAGTGTTTAGTAGCGTTTCTTTTGTGTTCCTTGGTCTCCGGAAGCATAATATCTTCTGGCTTGTTGTGAGATCTCATGGTTGCGCCTGACGAGAGACCACTTCGGTTATCGGCATCTATCGGTTTAGGGCTATACCGGGACATTGTACTTTGTTTGCGTACTAGTATGGGTAGACTTTAATTAGCTCTAGCTAGAGTACAGAGGGTAAATTACAAGACAACTAACTTGTCTTCAACATGTTGTGAAAAAAACTTATCCTTGGTGTGGATTTGTATGTTGATATTAACTTTGCTTTCTCATGCTATTAATAGAAACAGTATGTCTTTGTGGTTGTAGTTTCCCACCTTCTTCTTCTTGTTTTAGTTCATGCATTAAAAACTTTTTGGCTTACAAAAGACAAATCTCTTTAAACCCCTATTTTTCCTTGTTAGCCTCCCAAATTCGAACTCTCCAAGCAATTGCTCTATCTTTGCTACAATTGTGAAAAGAAAACAAAAATAAGAAAGATCCAAAGGTCTGAGTGAAAACCCTAGGGAGACATGTGGCAATGGCGTTGGAGTGAAGTGTAAAGAAAGAAAGAAGAGGAAATAAGTGTGAAAGAAGAGAAAAGACAAGTGTTGTGTGTGCATTTGTGGCAAAAGCTTCACAATGCCAAAACCAATCCCCCCATCCACCCAAATGAGAAAAAAGCTTATAATTCACAACCAAAATTAATATATAATTTAATGATTGAACAAAAATGTCAAAATCATCTATCGTTTTTTTTTTCTTTTGTATTCCATTATTATTAGTTTTTGTTTTTCCTTGGCATCTTTTGCCTTATTGCCTCTTTTATGTGCATGTATTTTATTTAGTATTTTTGGAGTTTCTCTGTTAGTGGTTATGAACTTTGGGAGCATCAACATGGACCCCCTCTTAGAGAAAACAATCTCTTTTGTCCACATATGTTTGTTTCTATATATTTCTACATATCTTTATAAATAGTAATTCTTTTATTATACAGTATATATACTTAATTTTGTGATGCCAAGTGGTAGGGACATCAAGGCTTGGAGAAGAAAAGGAAAAGCGATTTATTTTTCTCCTTTGTTTAGTTAGTTGTCTTCTTTTTTTTTTTTTTTTTTTTTTTTGTCAATATTAGTTGTCTTCTTTTAAATAATGATACAGGTAACTTCTTACTTTGAATATAATTTTTTTTTTCCCCGATTAACATTGACTTTTCTAGTCCTAGCCTAAGCTACATGGAATCGGAAGCGGGTATGGGGAAGCGGGTACGTTAAGAAACGCAGAAGCGATTTTTTTGGAAAAAATAGGAATCGGGTACGTTTTGGAAGCGTATATACAACAAATAAATATATAAATTATAAAATATTGTAAATTTATAAGTTATAGTCAAATTAAAAAGTTTAGGCATTTTAATTATTACATACAAATCAGAATCAAAACTACACACAGATAAAAGTATTATAATTTTAGTAATACGATATTTAAAAGTTTAATATTCTTGTATTCAATAAAAACATATAAGACAAATTAGGTATTAACAATAGTTGAAGTTGGGAATAAAATTGAGTCAAAACGTGGAAGAAAACAAAAATCATAAAAACAGTTGGGCCTCAATGGTTTAAACAATTGGGCCAAGGTAAAATAAAAAGCGAACAATCTACGTGGAAAAATAAGTCGTCTTCTTCGTTTGGATCTGGTCGAGAACCACGATTCCGATTCAAAAATCACGATTCCAACTCAGAATCGTGCACTCCCACAACGTTTCCAATCGTCACTTTTTCAGAATCGCGCTTCCCTTGCGATTCCAAGCGCTTCCGGACGCTTCCGCTTCCGTTTCCGATTCCGGAGCAGGAATCGGAACTTAGCCGGCGATTCCATGCAACGTAGGTCCTAGCATCTTTCAAAATTTTGTAATACTTTTATTTTTAAAATCTTGTCAAAGTATTTATGACCAAACTTTTGGCTCATTGATGCGTGCGTGACAAAGACTCTCTCGTTTGTCTTGTAATGAAATTGTCTTGGCAATTACTTAGGGAGAGTGTTTTTATTGTGTTAATAATTTCTAATAATAAATCAATAATGTTTCGTGTTTGGAAAATATATTGCATTATTGTAACAAAGGATCGCTCTCATATAGTTTTGTGGTCTTTAATTCTGACAAAAAATCTTAAATATGTTTGGTGATTTATCAGCATCTTATTTCTCCCTAATTCATTAATTTGTCGTTTACACTAAGATTCTTTCTTTTGTCAATGGATTGGCTTTGTCCTTTGTAGACTATATTCAATGCTTTAGATCCAACATTACAAATATATTAAATATTCATCATCTATTTTCAAAAGGGTTTGGTTTGAGAAGGGTATCAATAGGTTTTGGCTTTTGGATGCTACTTTTTTTTTTCTCTAGTTCACATTAGATTTTACAGAGTGCGGTGCGTTTGGTAGTGTTCGACTAACATATCCGATGTTAATGAGGTGTCGATCATGTATGTGGGAGGAAACAAAATTAAAGAAGAGGATTCTTTATTTTTTCTATAATCTCTAAATTTAGTGGTCAATTTATCGATAAACGTATACAAATATTAGTACATACAAAGAGAGATAAATACAATGATATGCATATTTTTTAATATATTAAACTCGATCAAACCATAATAACAACCCAAATCGAATAATAATTTTTTTTTTGTATGAATATTTTTCTTTTTCTTTTGGTACATCATAAACAATTAGAACACAAGAAAAAGAAATCCAGTCCACACTTCACCACAAAATAACCTGATCATAAGAGAAAAAAAAGAAGAAGAGAAAAGAGGTAAAGGGAAATAACGAGACTATAATATGGGAAGAATTTAAAGAGGAATAAATTACGGATTTTGTCCTTTTTCATAAGGGCATTTGTGGATTTTGCACTTTTTTTGAATAGTTTATGCATTTTGCCCTTTTTCATACTCCAAAAATATGATTTAACATGCGTTTCACTCGTTATGTTTGGGTTTAGTCGGTTCCATTTGTTCTTAGGGTTTAGTATTTGGTATAAAGTACGTATTTTTGGAAAAAAAAATCCTAAATACGTATATTTTTAAGTGTTAAAAAAGGGTAAAATCCGTAAACTATTCAAAAAAGGGCATTTTCGTAAGTTTTTTCCAAAAAAGGGCATTTTAAACAATAATCCCTTTAAAGAGTAGAGCTAGCTACTCTGAATGGAAAGTGAAATAGATGTGCAGAGATTTCATAGAAATGGAAGAAAAATAGAAAAAAAAAAGAAAACGAAAGAGAAGAAAGGAAAAGAAGAGACAAAGACATTGAACAACGATGCTTTTGTCTTTATTAGCCTATTAACCTAAACCCCTAGAGATTCAAACAATAAGACACGAACCTTTCTCATCTCGAATATATCAAACCCTAAAGACCATTTAACATCATCTCTCTCTCATAGCAGTATCACTTTTGCATTCATCATCAATTCGTCATCATGTTTGATTCACTCATTCACATGGTGGATCAGTCCAGAATATATAGACTGTATGCCGTTTAACGGTCTAAACGAGGACAATTTGTAGTACCTGTGTTTTCTTATTAAACAGCCTGTTCACATATCGTTATAACGTTTTGGGTATGCTTTTAATGATTGGCATTTGTCGACCGTCTGAAGGAGTCTTTTGGGCCGTGTAATGGGCTTTTGAATATCGTTCTATAAGCCCATCAAAGTAAGTACCATTGTTTGCGGGAAAGATATAGCGTTTTATGCAATTACGACCCGAAGCAGGTGAATGACCTCTCAATTAATTCAATGTTATCACCTCTCAATTGGTACTGCAGCCATTAGTTAATGTTAGAAACTAGTTTCAAAATTTTCGTAGAAAAATCTCATGCAAAAATCATTCTATGTGTTGTATGCGTATTTCCCAAAGAAATTCGGGAAAATTCCCAAAAAAAAACCTCATGTATTTTTTATTTGGACGTTTAATACCCAATTGTTTTCGGTTGGAAGAAAAATACACATACTAATAAAATTGTGCGATTTAATACCCAAATAATTAAATGTTGTTATTTTCATACTCACGAATTCACAACAAAAAAATATTCTAATTTTACCCTTACCATCTCAATTAATTATTAACTTTTAAATAACGTGGTATTATTTTTTATTTAAATAAAAATTAAATTTTTAATGTTTTATTTTATGTTGCCTAAAAAATAAATTTTAAATTTATATAATTAATTTATTTTAAAATTAAACATAAAAATTAGCAGAAAATCAAAAATATTAAAATAGTCATTTGTACAATCTTATTCCGTCTTTGCAATGTCAAATAGACGTTTCCTCTTCGATTCTAATTTTTTCGATTAATATCTACGAGAATTACCGGTAAACAATCTCCGTCGTCCTCTTTTGCAACCATCAAATTCGATAACCGTTCACAATCTCCTTTTAGTCCTATCCAAAATCTTCATCGCCAATAAAACTAATTTGATTTGATTCGTCGTGATGCATATGATATCAATGAGCATCAATATGAACTTTTTCTTCGTCGTGAGAAACTCTCTATTCGAATATAAATCATTCACGAATGAAACTATTTTCGACAAAATCTCAATCCGAATCTCATCGTCTCTCTCAAGATTTATCAATTCATAAAAATGGCTAATTTTATTTTTTACTTTTTCTAAATTTTTTGCTAATTAATTTTATTTTTAATTTTTAAAAATTAAATATTTGTAAAATAAACTGCAAATTATTTTGAAATTTTTTTTGGGATAACAAAGAAATGAGATATTAATAAAATTAATTTTTATTTAAATAAAAACTATTGTCGCGTAATCTAAAAGTTAATAATTAATTGAGATAGTAAGGGTAAAATTGGAATTTAATTTTTGTTGTGAGATCGTGAGTATGAAAATAACAACATTTAATTGTTTGGATATTAAATCGCACAGTTTTATTAATATATGTATTTTTTTCCAACCAAAAACAATTGTGTATTAAACGTCCAGATAAAAAATAATTAAGGTTTTTTTTGGAATTTTCCCAAAGAAATTCATATGAATAAGATTTGTTCACAAGGACAGTGGTTAACGCCGTTAGAAGGCGTCAACGTTTACAAACGACCGTTAAATAAGTAAATACTGATCACAGTTTGCCACGCTGGCAAAACTTCTCGCAGAGGGCCCACCAAATACTATAAATCTCGTTATAAGGCCCAAAAAAAAAACGAAAATGCAGAGTTGCGATCATAGAGAGAACAAGGAAGGAAGAGCGGTTATGTTAATCATGACGTCATCCTCTACGATTCTCACCGGAGAAGACGATGAAGAACACCGCACGCCGTCTTCGGCAGAGGACGACACGCCTACGCATTCTCATCGACGGCGGTGGAGCACTCCGGTGAATTCCGGAGGGGAATCTCTTCAGAGCTTCTCCGTGAGCAGATCTCTATCAGATCACGAGAATCCCGACGACGAGTGCAGCAGGGAACATAGAGGTGTGTCTGGAGTTAATCTTGACGAATATTTCTCGTGCTCATCGGAAAATAACAGTTATAGTTTCTATCTAGGAGGGAAGATATCGCCGTGGGGACCGTATGGACCGCCGCTGCTAACGGAGTCGTCGAGATCAAACGCGCCGTCGCCGCGTGGAGAAGAGAGGAGAGGAAGAAGCGTGACGAAGAAGCGAGATCTGCCACCATTTTTGACGACACTGGATTGTAACGGACGGCCGAGATTTCATCACAGGAGAGTGAGAAGCGAAGGAAGGCTAGAGATTGCCAGCGTGGCAGTAGATTCACCGGAGATCGTTAGTGTTCGGGGAAGAGAAGGACTAAGAATCGGAACAGTGAGAATCAGTCAACAAAACGACGAAGGAGAAGATGATGATGATGAGAAACAGAATCACTGATCTTCCTCGTAGAATTTTGATTTTTTCTGCTAATTTTCCGGGAAAAATCCAAGTTGTAATACTGATCCGTTAGAGAAAAAAAAGAAGGGCATTATGGGCTTTACTATTTAGGCCCATATTAATATTTTTGCTAAAAAAACCTGGCCCAAAGTCATGCGCGTACGCCGACGTGTTAATTAATGATTTGTCCGTTACAGTGATACTTTCACACAGGCTGTGCTATTATCATATCAATGTTCGAAGGAGGTCTATTTGAGAGTTAGAGAAGCATCAATTTTGGGGGACACAAGATTTGGAGAATACTTTGTTCGTCTTACTAAAAGGGGGAAGTGAGATGGAGGAAGACGAGATCGCAAAACCAGCGAAACCAAAAGCCAAGGTACTCTAACAACAGTTACTTATATATATATTTTGTTGGGGTTCTCTTCTTTGCGGTTTTCTTTTGTTCTTCCTCAGATGCGAACTTTCTAAGTGCATGCTTTTTCCTGTCTCTGGGGATCTCACTTATCTTATTATTGATTAAGTAAGTTATAGAAGAAGCCATAGGAGGATTCTAGGTTTTCAATTTCAATTTTTGGTAGTTAACACGAAATCTTTGGCCTTTGGGGTTTTGGTTTTGCAAAATCTTTGGCCTTGGTTCTTGCTGGATTAGTGTCTCTCCATATCCTTGCCTTACGTTGTTATCTCTGCCACGCTCACAAGTTTTGTGGTTGTTTCACTGAGACTTAATTGCAGAAAGACACTGCGCCAGGGAGGTTAATCGATACTTATGCTGCACAATGCGAAAACTGTCACAAGTGGAGGGTCATTGATAGCCAAGAGGAGTATGAGGATATCAGAAGTAAAATGCTTGAGGACCCTTTTAACTGTCAGAAGAAACAGGGCATGTCCTGTGAAGAGCCTGCTGATCTTGACTATGACTCCTCAAGGACTTGGGTCATCGACAAGCCTGGTCTCCCCAAAACGCCTCAAGGTTTCAGGAGGAGCCTAGTTCTCAGAAAAGACTACTCTAAGATGGATACCTACTATTTTACTCCAACCGGGAAGAAGCTAAGGAGTCGCAATGAAATCGCAGCCTTTGTTGAAGCCAATCCGGAATTCAAGAACGCACCCCTCGGAGACTTCAATTTTACTGTCCCCAAGGTCATGGAAGATACTGTTCCTCCTGTTCCTAAGCTTGGCTCTCCGATTTCTACCACTACTACAGAGAAGAGCAGTTTCAAGCAGATCCAAGACTAATATGTTCTCCGTGTATCCCAATTTGTTCCCTTTTTCTATGTTCCTTCTGATAATCCCTAAAACAATGCTTCTTGAGTATGTGTAGATTTGATGCTCTCTAAAACTGTTATGAAAACATCTCTAAACTCAATTTCAAACTAAAATGTTAAATATCCCTTATTTTAATTTGGATTCTTACACCAAAAACACACACACTTATTCCTTAGAAATCCCTTCTTAAAAGATTTTAAACATTAAGTAGAAGAAGCAACAGCTCCGGGAATTCTCTCATGGCAAATCCTCATGCACCTTATAGTGAGCGGTTCCTCTTGAAGAATACTGCACGATGTCTCGCAGACTTCCTCGTTGGACGTGAAGCATCCGGACATGCATTTTTTGTAGGCCTCTGGTCCAATGTAAGATGGGCATTTTCTGTTGCAGTATGCCTGCAACTCCCCGTTAGCAACCCCATCTCCTCCTATGGACTTGGTGCGAGGGCAAACGGCCATGCATTGTTGATAGAGTCCTTCAAAGGGTTTGCAAAATGCATCGCAGAAGGGATTGGGTTCTTCTTCTTGTCGTCCACTTGTCTCTTTCTCCATCTCCATCATCATCTGTTCATTGCACCTATCTTCACACTCTTTCCTGTTGTGGATATCATGTTTGCAGTCGTGCTTGCACTGTTCCACCACCAAATCTTCTACTGCACTTGACACTGTTGCACTTTCCAACACCAGAATAGCCCAAATCAGTGAGATGACTACTAACTTTGCGTTTGTTGGTGTCATGCCTCTAGTCATGGTTAGCAGATTATAGGTTATACTATATAGAGGAGTTGGTTTGTGACATGCAAGATTCTACGGGTGTTATGGGTACGTGTTGGTCAAGATTCTTCTACCATCCACTTGTACATCATGCTTTAGCCTGTGCATAGTCGTGTCCAAATCCAACATAAGAGAAGCTCAAAAAAAACGAAAAAAGAGAGAGAGAGAGAGAGAGAGAGAGGAGACAAGTTCCAATGACTTCAATTGACCCTTGCATTGAATTTGAGATGGTGTAAGGCATATGTCCTTTTCTTCTTTATTTCTTCATTTTCTTGAATGAAAGATGGATTCATTCACACACAAAATAGTTTTAGTGGTTTTGCAAGCTATGTTTATTAGGCAAAAATGAACTTATCATGTCATCGACAATGAATTGAGAGGAAGAATCAAATCTGATATAATTTCCTTAGCATGATTTGATTCCCCAATCTGCATATCAATATAGTGAGATGAGCATGGAAAATGAAACCTGTCAATCATGGTAGGTACATTGCGAACCTAAAGGTCTTAGCTACACCTTTGAAGATAAGTTCTTGGAATTTATGCAATAAAAAGATTTCAGAATACATGTAATTTATGAAGAATGCAGCTAGTATTTTTATCGTAAAAATGAATTGATGAAAAACATAGATAGGATTCCTTAAGACAGACTATATGAAGTGAAGAAAGGAAAGTGAAGAAAGGAAAGAGTCTCTCTGTGCAAAACAGAGAAGTCATCATGTTTTTTGGCTATAAGCCTTTTCGCATCTTCGCGAGTCTACTCTCAATGAAAGCATGCGATTTCGTATTTATATCATTGAAAAGAGGCTTCGGCTTTGTCATACCAGCTCCAGTTTGAGCTACTGATCGCCTAACGCTCAGCTCACTCGCCAAGTTCTTCTTTGAGCCGTTACTTCCATTAACCAGCATGATCACCCTCTCTTTCTCCGAGCTTCTTGAGAAATTGATGGGATTTGCGTTATCCTCGGAGTCTTCTCTTTGCTTGAAATAAATTGTGATATCAGATTTTGATTCTTTCTTGATCAGTTTCTTCGTCACAGACCTATCTTCCTTGTGACCCTTCATGAGTTTAACGACCACCAACCTTAAAAGCCGGCGAAAAATGCCTCTCTTGTCATCATCTTTTCCTCTCTGCATCCTCTCTTTGTTTACATGAATGTTTAATTATGGTGTTGCTTTATTATATGAAAAAATTAGTGGGATTATGGATTTTTTTTTTTTTTCCAATTGGTTTGCTTTGATTCTACGCTTTGGGGGAAAATGTGATTGTCTTTGTCTTTTCTATATCAAAAGAAAACAGAATTTATCTAGTTTCTTCTGCATACTCTTATTTTGCTTTTAACTAAAAAGAAAATTTGCTTTTGTGCAAGTTTTTCTTCCGTTGGAGCTGGAGATTCGCTTCTTTATTGAAAGATGAAGCTCCCTTATCACTGAAAATTTTGGTTGAGTGGACGAAAACTTGAAAAGATTCTTTATACACTTAGAAGACTTGTTGATCTATAAAAGTACTTCTCATCATGTTTTCCACTTTTGTTATTGTCACGTTTCATTCCGCGTGAATCACGTGTTTTGATGATGCTTTTGACAAATTTTCTCAACGAAAGATAAAGAAACAAAAAGTTGATTGTCATTGAAACGTAAGCCCCGTTCAGTTAGTCCATTAAGGACCAGGTGAATAACTGTCGAACGGCCATGATATCATCGGCGGAGAGACCACATAAGCTCCACAAACGCGTCTCAGCCGACTGAGTCTCTCCACCGCAAGACTCTCTCGTTACAGAGGCCGCATCTCTGCGGATAGTAGCCCGGGGACTTTCCTGGGTCGGAACTTAGGCAAGCCCATTTGACCCATTCACTTCGTCCAATGACAGTTGTGTTAACTACTACTCTCCAGGTTCTTATATATAGACGTGATATTATTCTTATTACCGATGTGGGATGTTCCCTGAAACAGGCATGACATCAAACTGGGTTGATGAAGAGAAAGATTTGAATTTAACTAAGAAGATTGGACTTTAAATTTGATGGGGTGAGCCAGGCCCGCGCAGTAGTGCAACACATGGGCAACTCACAAAAGCCCAGATAGCAAGCTATCTTGATGAGCTCTTCCCCTTAAAAAATAGAGTTAATATCGTGTGGACCGATGGCCCACATATCAGATATTAAACTGATAAGAACAGATACTACACTTGATCTTAGCCAAAAGGCCGAGAAAGGTATGATATGCAAATTGGGCTCGACCTCTGATTTATACTTGGGAGAAAAGGTACACAAATATCACCTAAGCGATGTGGGAGAAAAAGGTATTAACAAAGAAATAGTCAATGACATCATCAATCTGGAGATGCCATCTGGTTCAGAAAGGACACGTCACAGCTCCGTCTTGCTTTTCTTATGGTCTTTCTTTGTACTTTTGTCTATGTTTGTTGTTTGCCTTGATCGTATATGTAAACCAAGAAGAGCTGGTGATAATTGAAGTTCAGTAAGAAGAGGATCATATTCGATGGGATTCTTTTTATAATGCAAACTCTGGTAATTCCAAAACAATATCTTTGTTTACTTGAGATCATACTGTTTCAGAAGAAATTTTAATTATCATTGAGGTTTCTGGTTAGGATGGGAAGGAAACGTAGAAACTTCTAAATAAGTTCTTCCATGGAAGATGATTCACAGAATCAAATCTGATTTCATGTTTCTAAGAAAAAGCTTGAAATTTCATAGGAGATTTAGGTAATAAGGTCACACTTTCCATTAGCTTTTGCTTCCTTCTTATAGTCACGGTCTTCCAATGTAAAAATGGTTCTAATCAAAGTCGTATACAAGACTTTACAGACAAGACTCAACGATTGTTTCTATGGATAATGGCTTTAGTAGACCAGAAGGTATAGTAGGCCAAAGGTGAGAGAGCTGTTTCAACGGCGGTCAATCTTCAAAACATGTTCTATTGGTCTCCGGCAAATAGGACAGGTCTTCACGTGCAAGGAGCATGTTAAGCAGCAGCACATATGACCACACCTACAAGAGCAAACCAAACAAAAGAAAAATCAAAGGCTATGATGTCTGATCAGTGAGTGGGTTTATGCGTTTTACAAGAAAAGCAGTGCTCTTACTTTACAAAAGTTGCGTCATACTTCTGCTCAAGGCAGATCACACAGAGATCAAGTACATCTCTATCTCTGCTTGTACTATCTAAGCTGTTCTCATGTTGAGTTTCCAATCCTGGTGAGACATTTTTGTAAGCAAAGCAATTCCAAAAATATGCAGAAAACGTTTTCACATGTTACTGCAAACTGTAATGGATACTACCTCTAGCTACTAATTTGGCTCTCTTAGCAGCTGCATCAGCAACTCTGCAACATATAGCTCAATACTTAATTTGGAATGACTAATCATTTGCAAGTATAAAGCTTTGGTTAATATGTGACATACCTTTTCCGTAACAATCGCCCCCGCCTTCTCTCTAGAATATACTCAATCACAGGCTTTGAAATCAGAATCACACCAACAACAGTTAAACCTACGTAGACATATTTGAACCTCCTGCCAAAAAGATCATTTAGACATTTTCAATCTCAGTTTTCGAGGAAGAGAATAGCCATACTGAGAAGAGAAACAACCTTAACCACTTTCCCATCGGAGAGATGATCTTATCGAGCGGTACAGGTGAGACAAAGAAAAGTCCCTTCTCGGGTTTTTGAATCCTGAAACCCCGGATACCGTCTTTAACAGCCTGTTGACATGGTAAGTAACAACAGAAATGAGATGTAAAACGTATTTTGGTACCGGTGATAGATAAAAGACATACCTCACCAACAACTGTAACCGGTGTACCAATTGGGAGGACATGCTCAGTGCGTCTTACTCCAAGCATCTGTAGACAATGATGGTGCCACACAATTTTAGCATTGAGAAAACAGACAAAAAAAAGAAGCAATTAAATAGAAAACTGGAAATAGAGGAAAGACCACGAGGCCGTTGAGACAATCAGATGACGGCTTTGACCCTTCAAATCAATGCGAAGGCTATTATTGCATTTTCAGCTCCCACTACGTTCACACGACCTGTCCCATCGTCCTATGACATAGAGATTTCATAGATATTAAATAAATGACTAAAGGAAAACATTCCAATCAAGGCCAGTTGAAGAGTTGGCTAATCGACCAGAAATCCAAGAGTCATACCAGATACCACGGGACTTCCTTAGCCTGTGGAAGCATCCATTTACTATCTTCAACCCATGAAAACAACCAATTACGTTTCAAGAAAAGTTGTTGTGCCTGAAGATATACCCAAAAGCCAAAACCAGTGAAACGAGAGAAGAAGGTTTCTCTCTAGATATGGAAATCCAAATCCATACGGTTCCTGAGACTGCGATGATCTTGCCCTCTACTTGTAGCAAATTCTCTGAAGAAACCAAAGATTCCAATGACTTATTTAATCTAAAAACCCACCAAACTGAAATTGAAGCGAGATTGATTCACAAACCCAAATCCTTGATCTGGTGAACCCTAGTGACTGAATTGAGCATCTCAAAAAAGCTGTCGCAAGAAAGAAAGATTGATTGATACACATTCTTCAAAAGGCATAAAGAGATCGGAAAAAAACCCTAACCTGCCTGGTATCATACTGAGAAGATAAAGAACGCCGCCGCTTACGCAACATGTCAATCCACCTAAATGTATCATCTTCTTCCCCTGTTCTTTGCTTCTTTTCAGAGAAAGCAGAAATCGATCAAATTTTAAGCTCTCGAAGATAAAAGGGAATTAGTCGGATGCTTTGCCGACGGAGCCAAGAGGAAACCAAGCGGGAAGAAACATAATAAACCCCCTCTCACTTATTTTTTATTTGTTTTTCTAGTCCTGAACTTTTCTAAAATAGCAAAAACACATCCAATATTCTTTCTCATTGACGAAATAAACCCAAATCTAGTATAATGTTGTGAAATCAAATCTCTTTCTTAGCCTTTAGGTAAAATTAAAAATGTAACATTTAGGCACGAGGTCCACAAAAACGTTCTTAGCATATGTGGCCCAAGTAAATAATGCAGCTTAGGAGTTAGGGCCATCATAGGGAATGCCAAAGCCAGTGCCATTTGAGTTTCGGTTCTGCATCGCCAAAGGCTGATTAATAATGCATTTCTTCCTGAAACAACCTCAAAGAAAAAGACTGTCCCTCTTCTTCTGAGTTTCACGTTCCATGGATTTAGGATTAAAGGCTTCAACTACCAATGCCTGCTCCATTTGATAATTTTATGAACCAGAGTCATCCTCACATGTGACTGTCATGAGCCCTTTTCCCCACACACACACACACCTCCATGGCTGCATCCATTGGAAACAATGAACCAAATCTGTTTTTTAAAAAATTTAAACAATGATTCTCACACTTATAGTTATAACGACTTTTACTAGAGATACTCTTTAAACTCCCTATAATTTAGCATTTTTTCTTTTCTTACAACACTTTATATGAAAGTCTGCAAAATTCACACAAGAGAAGAGGCTATATATTATTCTGAACTATCGACCCTAACGATCATCTATCTTCCAACCTTTTTCTTGTTTGTTTTTACCAGCCATTGCTTTCTTTTAGTCAAATACTTGGGGGTGATCAAGAATAACATAAGCAAGTAACATCACAATGAAACCAGTTAAGTAGCTCTTGGGAAAGTTTTAAGAGAATAAAAAACTAGGATCATGTTTTTGTTGTTTGAAACATATCGCCATTGTTAATCATAGAAACAGAGGGGACTTGTTATTGTTTCGATCTTTTTTATAACAAAACAAAACTAATGGCCAGCATTATTTCGCAGTCAAAAAGTTACAAGAAACAAAATCAGATACAATAAACTATTTATCTGATCACTGTGTAGTGTACCAAAATAATCTAAAACCATACCAAACAACTAAACAAATCGGTAAAGATCGTCTAATCATCCTGCAACTAGTGAGCTCCACATGTCATAGGAGAATGAATCTAACTGAGATTTTCCTCTTGTGGTTTGCATATGCCCCAAGAGACCTAATTCCACGTGGACATCGCCACCACCATTGAATTAGATCACACTGCCGTCACTGTTGTCGTCGTCTTCTTCTTCCGACGAAAGCGGAATCAGCCAGCAAGTGCCGTGCAAGTGACCGTTGACGCATACGAAGAACTCTAATCCACCTTCACGTGATCCCAGCCGCCGCGCCGCACTCTTCGGGACGAGACGCGCCGCCGTCATGCTCCACACGCGCCCTCCGCAATACGGACACCTAACCTTCTCCTCCAGCGCCGCTTGTCTTCTCACGAGACACTCCCTCGTCTTTGACCTCATAAATTCCCGAAATACCCCTCTGAAAACCCCTAAATGTTCATCTCCACCCACCGCGTGATGCTCGCACGGATCGCTCATGTATAGGAGATCACGGCGGCAATTCTTCGGCAGGAAGAATCTCCCGGATGTCTTGGAGAATCTGGACTCGCAGGCGAAGTGACCCGGCGACGGTTGACTTAGATTGAAATACCGAGTCGACTCACCTCCGCCGCAGAAGAACATGAGTTTCGCTAACGCGTGCCATCCGCCGTCGATTCGGCCGCTGGGATCTGAGCTGGACAATGCTGCCACCATCCCCGGCGCACGGTTCACGCAGAGCCGCCGCCACAGAATTCGTTTGGCGATTGCGCAGAATCTGCGGCTGAGGGAGGCAATTGTGCATAGCGTGTGGATGTCCCAGCTAATGGACTCGAAGACGAGAACCAGGACTTGCTCGTTCTCTATACCTGACTCACCTGAGCTGGGTAATCGACTCGGTTGGTTAAATCTGAGCCGTCTATTCGTGTTCATCTGGACGACGGAGAATTTTCCCTCTAGAAGCATTGAGTTTTTGCGGTCTAACACGCGCGTCGTGATCTCACCTATTTATATCAGTTGGTCCGGTGCTCGAGAGTGACACACGTGGCTTTATGCCAGAATAAGAGATCCATGGAGCTCCCCGCCTCTAAATGTGTCGAGATATGATTGGTTTTAGTGGGACGCGTGTCCATTGGTGATTGCGTATACGCCGCAACAGAGAATCGGGGGTATAACTGACGTCTTTGGTTGGTATCAAAGGAAAAAAATAAGGGATGGGAGCGCCACGTGTCGAGACGCAAACGCGAATCCGAAACGTCCTTTTCTGGAACCGAAAAAATCTTACAAGACACGTGTCACGATTCATCGAGAAACGTGGCAGCTCCAAACCAAATAGTAATACGAAGTAAACTTCTAAACTAAGAAGAGACACAACAAATCATCAGTCGCATGTAAGGCAGCATTGGCGCCCAAAAGGTCCGTCCAACAGGAAGAATATTTTTAATGGTCAATGTCTTGGTCGAGTTTTTCAAGATCGGGAACTGATGCTTTTTCCAATGAAATTAGACATGACAACTTGTACTCAGAAAAGGTTTGATGGATTGGGGGGATAACGAGGTTGAACCAATAATGGGCTGTGAGTGGGCCTTATCAAAACCTCATACGTCCGGTTTTAAATAGAATGGGCTTAGAGGAGTGGTTGAATCACGTGGATTTGTTTTACGTACAAACCAGATTCTAGGCCTGGGCTAACGGTTCTAACCGATTAAACCGAACCGACCGAACCGAGGAATTCGGTTATCGGTTTCAATTCGGCAGAGAGACAAGAACCGATCGGCGGATTTCTAAATCTATTTCGGGTATCGGTTCGGTTCGGTTCGGCGAACGATAACCGAACGGTTTATTTAAAACCGTAGTATATAAGACTAGCATTTGTCACAAACCCTAAAACACGAGCCTCCTTCGTTTTCATTCACGACTTATCTCTCTAACTCTTTGTCTCTCGAACCCAAGGAACTCCTTCTTCATCTCATCTTAACCTCGTCAATTTCTTCTTCGATTTGTCATTCATCTCAAGGATCTATCAAAATCATCCGTAAATTCTCGTCGAACTTTGTCAGTCTCGACTTCCTCTCGATCCGAAGAGATCTTGAATCTGTAAGTTCTTCCCTCTTACGAGTTGGGGGTTTATTTTATCTGTATTGGGGGGGTCTGATTTTCGTTTTGTGGGTTTCATATTTGATTCTTCAAAACCCTAATTTTTCAAAACCCTAATTTTATTTTCGATTTGGGTTCATTTAGCTTGTATATTGTTCTCTGTTTTTGATTTGGGGGTTTGAATTTTGATTTGGTGTTTGTATCTGAAAACCCTAATTTACTAATTCATAAAAACCCTAAATTTCGATTTGATGCATGTCGTTTATCTATTGTTGTCTGTTTTTGATGCATGTTTTATATGTATTTTTCGTAGATGGCTTCTGAAGATCATATTGACATCGACACTGAACCTGGTTCTGTTCCCGAATCTGTTCACACTAGAAAAAGGTCAGCATCGTCGTCAACTAGAAAAAGGTCAGCATCGTCGTCAAATACTTTGCGCCTGGCGAATAGCAAGTCTCTTCAGAAGGTCGGAAGGTGGGATCTAGCGGCCATACTTCACCGTTACCGACTCCGTCTTTGCTCCGTGGCGGCGGTAGTCATACTGTCGAAAACCCTAATTTTAAGTGGGTTTGGGCTTGTGAGTATGATAATGGGCTTGCATTTATTTTCATGAGCTTATTATTTTGGCTTGTAAATTCTTTATTGGGCTTGTAAATTCGTTATTGGTTGTAATTTAGTTTTGGTTAACCGAATAAAACCGAAGAAACCGACAATAAAATGAAATTCGGTTTTATTCGGAATTGATTTTTAGTAATGAAACCGAACCGAAAAAACCGAGAACCGAACCGACCGAACCGAACTTTTATTCGGTTAGATTCGGTAGGTTTTTTTTTTGCCGAAAAACCCGAAAAACCGAATAAACCGACCCGAAAAACCGGAACGCCCAGGCCTACCAGATTCGGTCTTTTAAAGGTCTTATCCAGCAGAACTTTTGTGAAAACAAGGAAATAAAGTTAACCATGGCGCAAGTTAGACATCGCCTTTGGAAATTTGCAAACCCTACACCGACCAAACGATTAACAAATATACTCCTCCAATCAAGCTATTTTTTTCTTTCTCCCTTCTGGGTTTCGTGTGTGAATATTTCTCTTCCGGAAAAGCGATAAAATCCACCAGCAATCTTCTATTGTCTCTCTCGCTCGTCTCAATTAGGGTTTACGGGACCGATTTTCTTCTGTCTTGCGTGCCTACATCCGTCGATTGGGTTCGTATTTTTCAATGCCTGCGAGTTCTATAGCGGAATCTGTCACCGAAAACCCTAGGCACTGCGGAGCTGCTAATTTCCGCCTGCGGTTCTGGCTTAACTTCGAGAGTTAGAATCCTTACCTTTTCCTTATTTGATTTTCGCTGTTTTTTTTCCTGAATTCCGATGGCTCCGAGCCGCAAGAAAGCCGGTGGTAAGGCTGCGGCGGCATCATCCGCTCGCCGAGAGTGGAAGGGGAAGGTTGGCGATCTCGTGCTTGCCAAAGTCAAAGGATTTCCTGCTTGGCCTGCCGCGGTATGTGATCTTGTATTTTTTTTTGTTGTTTCTTCTCTTTTGTGTTTGAAGTTTCTCATTAGATTCATGATTTATTTTCCAGATGGCTGTAGAAATTGCTATTAATTAAGGGTTTGAAGTTGCATGTCTGTGCATCTGTATATAATTAAGATGAAAGATCTTTTCTAGGATTAGCGACTGCTTAAGGGATATGGATATCTTTCAGAGGGGTTGGTGCCCTCATCTAGGATCAATTATTCTAGTTGTTAGTAGATACCACTCAGCCAGACTTTCGTTTAGCAATTTTGTAGGCTATACATCTTACATCTTCAAGTGTGAATTATTCTTTTTTGGATCACTTGCTCCTCTGCTAATTGCTGGAGTTATTTCAGGTTAGCCAACCGGAAAAATGGGGCTACTCAGCCGATTCGAAGAAAGTATTGGTTCACTTTTTTGGCACTCAACAGATGTGAGTTCTCAGGCCTTTACTATCACCCTCGTATATATTGTTTTGCTTTCTGATCATACTTCCCTTATTTGCAATTGCTCAGTCCGAGTTCCTATTTGTCATCCTACACTTATTTTAGGTCCTTGCATTTTGCGTCCCCATTTGAGTTGATCAATTCATTTTGACTCTTATTTGACGAGATGAACTTTAATTCTTGTCTCACTAGATTAGGACGTAGAAGCTGGTACCTTGGTTGTGGCCATACATTTTTAAATTTTCTTGTTCCGGCAGGATAAATTTGATGTGATGTATGTGTTCTCTAACAGACAGCCCTGAGATCTAATTTTACTTGGTTTAGAATCAGAATCGTTCCTGGTCTGAACTTCTGTGTTCACTTGATTTAATGATAATTGAGTGGATTTTCTTTTTTCCAGATAGTTGGCAACAGTGCTTCTTGTTGAACTTATATTTAGCAATTTTGGGTAGAGCTTCCACATCTGTTGGATGGTGACTTTTGTTATCATTTATCTTACTTAAAGTCTTTTGTATGTTGAATTCTTTGAAAACTGTTTAATCATTTTCTTTGCAGATTAGCATCAACATTTAGCGAATGTTCTTTTTGTTGCATCATTCATTCCCACGGTTAAGTGAATACTGATGTATAATTATTATGAAGAGAGCATTTTAGCATAACTGTATGCTTTTCAAATTTTAATTGATTAAGGGAATTAGTTCAAGGTTGTAGTAACCTGTGTATGCAGTTAAATGTTATTTATACCAGCGTATGCAGTTAGTAATACTTTTTGGTGTATGTGCAGAGCTCTCTGCAATCCTGCTGATGTTGAATCATTTACGGAGGAGAAGAAGCAATTGCTTTTGACAAAACGACATGCCAAAGGTTCAGATTTTGTCCGTGCCGTCAAGGAGATCACAGAGAGTTACGAGAAGCTGAAGCAGCAGGACCAAGCTAGTGATCCTAAATGTACTGAAGAAACAACTGTTGGAAGTTCTGTGAACACTGTACAGCTGCCTCAGGCCTGTGAAAATCTAATTGGTTCAAGACTTAACACTCAAATAGAGTCAAGTTCTAGTCATGGTAGAGATGAATCGACTCTTCTCAGCGAAGATGCAGCTGCTGAACAAATGCTAGCCCTGCGTCATAACACTCTAGCTCATAATGGAGCCTGTGATAGTGCAGCAGCTAAAGATCTATGTGAGATAGCTACATATTCTTCAAGGAGAAGAAATGAAAGGGTGCGGGCTCTAAAGTGTGCTCCACAGAGTATAATATTACCGGTTGAGCACTCTAAATTCTCATCAAGGTTGGAATTGGATAGACTTCAAAGGTCCATGCTTCAATGCAGTGATGGTGGCCCGAGTGTCAATGGTATAGATGAAAGAGCCATAAGAAGGAGAAAAAGGATCCGTAGGTCAGGTCAATCTGAATCAGATGACGTTGTTTCATCAGATCTAAATTTGCACGGATCTGATGAGGAGAACGCATCTGAAATTGCGACAGTTGAATCTGATAATAATAGTAGGAATGAAGGCAATGGTGTGGATTCTGGTTCCAAAGTTGAGCATTCTGATACTGTTGCTGACGGTTGTGACGGAGGTCATGAGCTCAACAAAGGGCTTGATTTCCAAATTAGCACCATGGTTAAGAGGAAGAAGAGGAAGCCCACCAGGAAACGTGAAACCAGTGACATTATTGACCCTCCTGCTAAAGTTGAAGCAGAAGGTCTTGGGCACAATGCTTCTGACAGCTGCCAGAGATCTCAAAATTCTCATGAAAGGCTGAATGAGAGGCCCTGTGAAGAGAATGGTGATGAACATTTGCCTCTTGTAAAGCGAGCCAGAGTCCGAATGAGTAGAGCTTTTTATGCTGATGAAAAGGTCAATACCTCTTCACAGGTCGAAGAGAGATCATCGAAAGACACTCTAATGAGTGCAGCTTTGCAGACAAGCCCTTCGGTGAATCATAAAAATGATATTGTTTCTGTTCATGATACTTCTGCAGCCGAAAAATTTAACAGCTTTGAGTTGTCTGCTAAGCTTTCAGATGTTATGGTTGATGTAGTGCCTTCTCATATGGAGAATTCTTCAGACAGAATGTCTCCGTCTAGGGCCTGTGTTCAGACTGTAGGAGATAGACAAACTGCTGTGAAATTCCATGAGAACGTGTTTACCATGACACTAGATGATGAAGTAACTCGAGCACAATCTAACCAACTTAGCAGTTTGGCAGAAAGAAAAGCTCATGTTCCTGAAGTAGTTCAGGGATGTTCTGAGGAATCGCAAACCGGGAACTGTCTAAATAGTGAGACCGATCCTACTGACATGCAATGCTCACTTCAAAATGAGAAAAATGAAACCCCATTGAATCCTGATATCGTTGATTCATCGGCAAAGTCCCCTGGTTTATGCTCGAGTTTGGATATGACAACAATAGGGGTTCCTGCTCAATCTCCTCACCAACACCAAAGCCAGGAGTATGATCCTGGTGACCATTCATTGGTCATTGGTGGAGATTCTCTTAATGAAAAATGTGAGAAAATTGATTACTGTATGACTCAGGTTGTTCAGTCCCAAGCTTTAGAACCTCCTCCATTGTTCTGTTCAGTGGTCAATTATGAAGAGGTTGAAAACCCGCAGGAGACTGAGAACACTCTACGGAAAGAAAACCAAGGAAGTCCAGGTAAAGAACTTGATAGTGACAAACAAGCTCACATGATACAGAATCCAGCACTCTCTGCTACTGAAAGTGAAATGATCGTTGAAGAAGCAGAACCTCAGTATGAAACTATGTATGGTCACTGTGCGGATGCAGTGGAGAACAGGGAGCTGGAAAAGAGGTGAGTCTACTGATTTTGTCTCTACTCCTATACTAACCTCTGAATCTGATACTATGTTGTTTCTCTTATTGCTTTTTCTTATTAGAATAAGTTTTCAATTACAATCATGTGTTCAGTTTCTAACCACATTGGAATATTTTATGTATGGAGTGGAGTCCTCATAGGCAGATTGATGTAGAACATGACTAGGAATCTATCTATTCAGTTTTTGACATAAGAATCCATTTCTTTATTATTTCTTTCTTTCTTTGTAATTTGCATTTCCCTTTTACAATTGAAGATTTCCTGTTCCTGTTTAAATTTACTCTTGCTTTGAAAGTCTTATGTAGAGGATAGGCATATTGAGTTTAAGCCAAACATAAATTATATGAAATTTCTCCAGACTTTATCTTGGTCAAGTTTTTCCACTTCACAGAACTGGTTGACTAACAATATGGTATGTCCGTGTGCATTGGCAGTTGTGTGGTTGATGAGCAGAAGGAGCAGATGCAAGCCACCAATTCTATCTCAGTATCTGAGAACCTTTCACGTGAAAAATTGAATTCATCTCCTGCAAAGGGTACTCCACATTGCAACTCTGTATGCCGAATTTCTACCGCAGAAAGTGCAAATGCTATGCAGGAAAACAGTAATTGCAGCACAAATGTTCAGTTTGGTGAGGAGAAACCATTGAATAATGACACTGTCAAAGAAGAAAGCAAAGTTGAAACAGGCCCAACTCAGGTGAAGAAAGTTATTAGTTCTGATGTGCAATTCACTGTTGAATCTTTTGAGACTGCACTTGACTCATTGGTGAGGACAAAGGAGACCATTGGCCGAGCAACTCGCTTGGCTATGGACTTGGCAAAATTTGGTGTGTCGGCAAAGGTATGAGATGTTCTCCCTGCTTGTGATATTGTTTTATCTGTTTGTTGATGTCACATGTTATATCTGTTTGTTGATGTCACATGTTATATAGAGGTGGAATCCAATCGGGGACAACTTTCTTCTTATAGATTGTTAAAACATATTACCTGTATCTGTCCCATGGTATATACCTATTTGCGTTATCCAAATAGTTAATTGCTTCAATCAAAACGGGACCATATCAATCAAACCAACTTTATGTATTAGTACGAATTAGAGAATCCCCTTCTGTATATTGTTTTATGTGCTGATTTTAGGATGCTGTAGGCATTCAGCTCTTGACAAGCATAAGACTAGGGCAAGCCTTATTATCTTATCTACCTTTTTAATGAGGAAAGGGACTTGTTTCACTGTGCTTTTGTGCGATTTATAAAACACTATTTTGCAGACTTTTTGCTTATGTTGTTAATGAGGCTCTAAGAATCTCTATGTCTTGAATTAGGCGATGGAAATTCTGGCCCATACTTTGGAAAGCGAGTCAAATTTACAGAGGAGGGTGGATTTATTTTTCCTTGTGGATTCTATTGCTCAGTGCTCCAAAGGTCTGAATGGTGAGTATTTAATGTTTTTGCTTGGTTGCATCATTGATGTTCTCAATGGCGAGTTAACTTTGTGAATTCTACCTTTCTATTCAGGTGATGCTGGTGGTGTTTATCTTTCATCCATTCAAGCTATGCTGCCTCGCCTATTAACTGCTGCTGTTCCACCTGGAGCTACCACACAAGAAAACCGGAAACAGTGCCTGAAGGTATGCGATTTTAGTTAGATCTTCTTTTTCTTATGAATATTAACTCTCACCCTATCTGGTCTTATATAGGTTTTGAGGCTTTGGCTCGAAAGACGGATCCTTCCTGAATCTATAGTTCGTCACCATATAAGAGAACTTGATTCAGTTAGTAATGTTCCTGCTTGTCTCTATTCTCGGCGATCTGCTCGAACAGAAAGGGCGCTGGATGACCCTGTTAGAGATATGGAGGGTATACTGGTGGATGAATATGGAAGGTGAGAGTTGAGTCTAATGAGTCTTGGGGTCTTGATTTCTTTATCTCTAGTGTCAAAACTTAATTCGTCTTTGTGTTTCAGTAATTCAACTCTCCAGCTTCATGGATTCTGCCTGCCTGCAATGCTTAGGGATGAAGACGAAGGAAGTGACTCGGATGGGGGTGATTTTGAGTCTGTCACCCCTGAACATGAGTCCAGAAGCCTTGAAGAACATGTCACACCCTCCATTACTGAAAGGCATACCCGTATATTGGAAGATGTTGATGGTGAGCTTGAAATGGAAGACGTGGCTCCACCTTGGGAAGGTGGAAGCAGTGCTAGTGCGATCACAGATCAAGCTGATAATAGAGAGTCTGCAAATTGTCAGCCTGTCTCTGGCACTTCACATCAGAATGTTACCTCTTCATCTCCACCAGCTCCCCCTTCGCAGAATGCTCAGTTGGCAATGTCTGATTCCTACTCAAATGGCTTTGAGTACAGCAGAAATCCCAGCATGCATGTGTGTCCTTCTTCTTCTTCTAGAATTTTTTGCAGTAAATACATTGATGATTGAGACATGATTAATAACTTAATTTCTGGTAAATATTCCAGGGAGATTATCAGGCCGGTCCTCCAATGCATTATGGAAGTCCCGAGTCATCTTATAGTTCCCGCGTATCTTTGTCAAAAAGCATGCCGCGTGGGGAGGGTTCTAACTTCCAGCATAGGCCTTATCCGTCTTCTCATCCACCACCTCCGCCATCACATCATTATTCATATATGGAGCTGGACCACCATATAAAGTCGCGGAGAGAAGGTCCATCATACCCTCACAGATCTCATTACACACTGGAATTTGACGAAAGGAATTATCAAGACAGCTATGAGAGAATGAGGCCTGCACCATGTGAGAATCGAGAAAATTGGAGATATCATCCGCCCTCTTCTCATGGTGGACTCCTTTAACCTCTTCTTTTCTTATAATTATCATGCATGCATAGGCATATATGAATGCATATCTGTGCACAAAAGCACATGGTCATGCATGCTAATAGGCGTATATTGCAGGTCCACGATATCATGACAGACACAAAGGCTCTTATCAATCGAGCTCATACAGTGGCCATCACCGTGACTCTGGAAGATTCCAGAACAATAGGTGGAGTCATTCTCCGCGTGCATATAACAATAGACACTCGTTTCACTATAAGCCGCATTCGGAAGGTCCTGTTCCAGTAGGAATGAGAGGTAATGTGGAAATGCATGCCTGTTCAGTGGACTCATAATTTACTCTCCCACAAACTGAATCAGCTGTTTCTTACTAGGTTTAGAAACTCTGATCCTAGGATGATCCATTTGATTTTGATTGGGATCTTATCTTATTAGGCCTCTGACATTGGAGACTGTTTTGCTTGAACATATGGTTGTCTATCTTGAATAAAAAAAATTAAATGAAGTGGAGTGTGTTTTTGTGGATTTGCAGATCCTCCAGGGACGTGGCATCAAAGGTGAGTGGGAGACATGTCAAGAAGGCGAAAGGTGCAGTCTTGAGAGAAGAGATGTTAATATACAAAAAAAGGCACAGCTGTGTGTGTGTACATATGATGATGACCAAAACCTCATGAGGAAGGCAAAATCACAGAGTCGTGAAAAGCCATTTGTGTTGTAGCTAGAGAGATTTGAGAAAGAAGAAAAAAATGAGTTAGGCACCCCTGACACTGACTGATTTAATTTTTGTAAACATATATAGTATATTGTTTTTCTTTTTTTTTTGGGAGTGGTAATATGCAATTCTAGGAACACCTCGACTCTAATAATGTAAAGTGGTTAAATAGTGTTGGTGAAAAAGAGGATCTAAAACAAGAGACGATAATAACAATTAAATAGGAAATGGTTACTTCCAGGAAGGAAAAAGCAATTAGGGATGGTTGTTGTTACCAAGGAATTAACAGCTAAGAATGAAATAAGGAAGAAGGGGACACATATCATCATTCTAATCAATTTCTTCTGTGCGCGAGCGAGCGAGAGAGAGAGATGGGTGCTTCTATATCATCATCAGTGTCCGAGAAATCAATCCATCAATTCACCGTCAAGGTTTTTTTTTTTATTATTATTTTATGAATCCCTTTTCTTCTTCTTCTTCTTCTTCGCGTTTCTAAATTATTATTGTTGTTGGTTGGTCGGGAATTAGGATAGCTCCGGCAAGGAGGTTGACCTAAGCGTATATCAAGGGAAAGTGTTGCTCGTCGTCAATGTCGCTTCTAAATGGTCCGTCGTGGAGAGATCCTCTCCTCTCCTCTGGGTTTTTTTCTTGACTGCCTAAATTAAATAAATGGTTGTAATTTTTGTTAAATATGAGTACTTATTAAATTGGGCAACAGCGGATTCACGGAATCCAATTATACCCAGCTGACGGAACTTTACCGGAAATATAAAGATCAAGGTCACAATTAGACTCTTCTCTTTGTCTCTTCATTTGGTTTCCATCATCTATTTTGTTGTTTATGTAATGGGTTTCCTTCACAGGGTTTGTGATATTGGCGTTTCCTTGCAACCAGTTTCTCTACCAAGAGCCTGGCACCAGCCAAGATGCTCATCAATTTGCCTGTACTCGGTTCAAGGCCGAATACCCCGTTTTCCAAAAGGTATATTCTTTTTGTTATTAACAACAACAAAACACTCTTGCTTCACATAATAATCATTTGTAATTGCTCTTTCTATATGCCTTTAATAGGTGATTTTGTAACTTTATAAGCTTGATCATCATCATGTAGGTGCGTGTCAATGGACAAAACGCTGCACCAGTCTACAAATTCCTCAAATCTAAGAAACCCTCTTTTCTTGGAAGTCGTATCAAATGGAACTTCACCAAGTTCTTGGTCGGCAAAGATGGCCAAGTCATTGATCGTTATGGCACAACGGTGCCTCCTCTATCCATCCAGGTCTCTAACTCTCTCTCTCTCTCTCTCTCTCTCTCTCTCTCTTGTTCTTCTTGATATTCTTTATGTTTAGCTTACTTCATGTTTGTTTTCTGCATAACAGAAAGACATCGAGAAAGCCCTTGCACAAGTATTATGAACACGCACAGACATTGGAAGAAACTTCTTCTCTTACTCTCCATCACCTTGTCTAGTTTCCCTTCCATATGGGCCTTGTATTCATCTTATGTGTAACGCCATTTCTTATGTGAATTTTGATCAAAGGTCATACGAATATGTTGATTTGAACCCAACAAGTAATTCCAACAAATACAAACCACCAGATAAGCTAAAGATCGAGACAATACACCACTGGTTTTCCATCTGTGCTTAATTTTTATGGTACGAATTACACGGTTACGATAATATTTAAATCTGTCTCATGTGTTGAGTGAGAACTTTTTCCATCTGTAATGTATCGATTATAATTGGCGTATCACTCTCACGTGCTCTGTTTGGGCCTAAGACAAATAAAGAAAGAGAGAGTACCTAAAGGAGTACGTAAAGGAGACCTTGACCACTCACTCTTTCATGCATTCATCCTTCTCTTACTTGTCTTATCAGTTTCTTTTGCTTTTGTTTTAGATTACTCAAAATATAGATTATTCACATTAATAAGTTTGATGGGTTTATTTTGTGAACAAACGACCGACCTATCTCATAATCATTAATTAGACATTACAACTAGTGTACTGTCTCATCCTTCTTTTTCCTCTGCATAATACACTACAAGAAATTTGTTCATTGTTAGCGCTAAAAATATGCTATCTTACGTTATAGATAGCGAATTCACAAACGCTATTGTGAACTGCTATCAATGCTCACTTTTTTGAACATATGTTTAGATTTTTATCTATTTAGATTAGCACCGGGTTAATCAAAACCGAAGCCAAGGACCAATACCCTTCCCTTAGGTTTTGGCTCAACTACCATTGCACTCTCTTACTTGCATCGTTTCTCTTTGGTACTTCAGTTTTTGGATTGATTTGGTTTATCCTGATTGAACATATCTAAATGTACTTGATACAATATTCAAGAGCTTTGTCGTAGCCCATTTACGGTCTTTTAGTTTAGGCATAGTGAGCTTCTTAATACTTTTAACTGATACCTTTTGGGTCAATTGGAAAGCTTATAGTCAATGGCATGAAACGAGTGATGTGGTGGGATGAACATTCATGCTAAACCCGTAAGCAAATCCATAATTAACAAGTTGATTAAATTAATCACATGTCTTAACTACCAAATTAGATATTAAATCATTCCATTCCCACCTAACACACAGCAAGACATAAAGCCCCACAAGCCACAGCTCCATCATTAAGACTCATGTGTGCATGAACAGAAGTTTTCTGTTCAAACAATATCCTCACCGCAAAATCAAATTTGAAAACTGAAAAGCTTTTTTTCGAAAAAGGGAAAAAATTGATACCAAAATGTTTTGAACATTTAATCAATGATAGATACTAAACATAAGATTTTAGTTCAAAAGCGAAGCTAATGGTGAAAGCATCATGCCTTTCCTTCACACTTAGAAACATGTAGGTCCGATCTTCCATATTATTCAATTCAATAATGTATCTTAATTTTTTCCGATATATGCATTTTACATCATATATATCTACCAAATTATCTCTACACAGTATCTGCCAAATTATTTGAATCGAGTTCGAGTCAGCATGTATACTAGTATATAAGCAATCTATATATCTCTCTAGCAGCCAAAACCCATAAAAACATCACACAAATAGTTTACTTTGAATGAAGGTTTCTCGATATAGCTAGAGGATCAATGGCAGGGACAGTTGTGTTGAGATGCTGCAGTAGTGTTAACAAGGTTAGGACATGGAAAAGATGTTCGAAGCAGATAAAGGAGCAAAGGGCTCGTCTTTACATCATCTGGAAATGTGCTGTCTTTCTTCTCTCCTCCCATGATTGATCCTCCATATATATATATATACATGCTATATAAGCAATCTCCTTTCCTTCATCAGTTTTTTTCTTCTTGGATATGTATAATTAGTTGAATTCCAAACTAACTAGCTATTTAAACGTACCATAATGTAAATTCTATTGTGATCATCGAAAATCGATATCTACTGTCATTTGGTTATCCTTGGGAAGTTCTGTTTTGTAATTAGAGATGCTATAAGAACAACAAAGACCAAGAGCCAAGAGGTTAGCTGTGTATATCTTATCTTCGTAAGGTCTTGTCTTCTTAAAATATACTACGTCCTTAGATTTTGTTTTCAATTGGTGTTAAATCCTACTAGTTTTCCAAAAAAATACAGAATACGAGGCGCGTGGTTGAAACTCGCTCTGATCACGCGTGGTGTTCTTGTAGTTCTGGTATCTATATATACATTTTTGAATGACTTTTAGCAAATAAATCCTGGAGTTGGACCTTATTTACGGATGAATGCCATTGGCATTAATTATTTAAATTTGAAAAATATTACTTAAAGATATTACCAATACGATTTCGAGAATCATAAATTCATATCTTCCTTAATTTTCTGAGTCATTAATGTGATAATCTTTAGGAAATATTTCTCTATAAAAAAAAAAAATCCACATTAATGAAGGCATTAAAATCGACACTAACAATTAAATTATTTAGATGTTCAATTATTTTAAGATTCTTATATCTTATTTGATATTTTTTTTTTAATATCTCATTCTTTAATTACTGCGTTTAGAATTTATTGGTTGTTACCTATTTTTTTGGTGAAATTTATTGGTTGTTACTTAATAAGTAATTATGGTGCGTTTATTTTATTTAATATCTAATTTAAAGGATTTGTTTTCTTTTATTATTAATAAATGAATAACATGTATAGAAATAAAAGATTTTTTTGCGACTCCATAATAAAAATATTAAACTCTTATTTTCTACATTTCTTACACATAATATCCTCTTATTCAATAACAAAAAATATATATTACATATTTTTAAAAATATTTATAATATTTAAATTATATAAAAAATTTGTAATATTAATATTATTTCAACTCTATACAAATTTAATATATATGTATATATATCTTATGGGAACCATTTAAAAGAAATTTTTAAATTGACTTGAATTATATAGATTTTAAATAAAAGTATTATTAAAAAGAAAAATAACTAAATAATGTTTAATTTCACGGGACGGGTAATATGATGGGACGGGTTTGGGTTGATATTTATAAAAGATCGTATACCACGGGTGAAATCCTAAAATTAACAATCAAAATAATCTATCAAACAAATTACATTTTGATTTTTTTAAGAAAATATAGCCCCGCGGTGTACCGCGGGTTAAAATCTAGTTCCAGGGTTTAAAGGAGCATTTCTCATTTGCCCTCTGGTAGAAAAACCCTAATATCTTCTGCTGAAATCAAATCAAATCCAGGAATGGTGTTCAGAAACTTAACCATTTCTTACGAAATCATCAAATCTCTGAAAAAAGAGCCTAGTTTATTAGGGCTTCAAATCAGATCGATCTCGAGCTTGAAAGTGGTATGGAAGAAAGACACGAGGCTAGACGAAGCCATCGAGCAGGACAAGCGTTACAAGCTCTGTGCTCGGGTGGTTAAAGAAGTGCTGAACGAGCCAGGTCAAGTCATTCCTCTCAGATACCTCGAGAAACGCCGCGAGAGGTTACGTCTCACTTTCAAAGCTAAGAGCTTTGTTGAAATGAACCCTTGTCTGTTCGAGATCTACTACGATCGGATCAAACCCAAGTCGGATCTCGTTCAATTCATCCGCCCAACGCCTCGTCTCAGAGCTTTCCTCGACGAAGAACAGAGGATTTACGCTGAGAATGAGCCCTTGATTGTTTCCAAGCTCTGCAAATTGCTGATGATGGCTAAAGATAAGGTTATCAGTGCGGATAAGCTGGTTCATGTGAAGAGAGATTTCGGATTTCCGAATGATTTTCTGATGAAATTGGTTCAGAAATACCCTAATTATTTCAGGCTAACTGGTTTACCTGAAGAAGGTAAGTCCTTTCTTGAGCTCGTCTCTTGGAACCCTGATTTCGCCAAATCGAAGATTGAGCAGAGAGCAGAAGACGAAGCTCTTCAAACCGGTGTCCGGGTTCGACCCAATTTCAATGTGAAATTGCCGTCTGGGTTTTTCCTGAGGAAGGAGATGAGAGAGTGGACTAGGGATTGGTTAGAGCAAGACTACATATCACCCTATGAAGATGTGTCTCATTTAGACCAAGCTTCTAAGGAAATGGAGAAACGAACTGTTGCCGTTGTGCACGAATTGCTGTCTCTTTCGCTTTTGAAAAGAGTCCCTGTGCCTACACTTGGCAAGTTCTGCCATGAATTCCGGTTTTCAAACGCCTTCTCGAGTGTTTTCACTCGTCATTCAGGTATCTTCTACTTGTCACTAAAAGGAGGGATCAAGACTGCAGTGTTGAGAGAAGCTTATAAAGACGATGATCTTGTTGATAGAGATCCTTTGCTTGCTATTAAGGATAGGTTCCTCAGCTTATTAGAGGAAGGCTGGCAAGAAAGGAAAGATAGACTGAAACAGCAGAGGGAACAAGTTCAGAAAGATAGGGAGTTGCTGTTAGCAACGAAAAGCAATGAACCTAAAGAGCGTCTCTGTGATTAACTTTAATAATCAAGCCTCTGTTTATGTCCTCTGTTTTTTTTCTCTAGGCATAGTTCTTGGCCTGGTTTGGTCTTTAGGGTGGATGGTTAAGTTTGTAAGTTTTTGCTAATAAGAGAAAAAAAAAAATCAAATGTCAATCACAAGTCGCAATTGAAATTTTGAATTCACTTGTTTTCTCAATCTCAGGGAGTGGATTTAAGTTAGACCAAATGATAAATATTCACATACCGTTCTTTGTGTCTATGAGATTGGTGTATATTCTAGTTTGAGTAGATGATCTTTTCAGATCTTAAATCAAGAATCATCTTGGAGATTAGGATCAATCAACGCTTAAATCTTTTTCTTCTTCACATGTGTCCAAGTTTTATATCACACTTCTTTCGTCACGCATTTGGAGTTGCAGCTATTAATTGTAGTTTAAGTAATTTTAATTGGTTGTGTAATTTGGAACAGGACTTGTTGTTGTACCAAAGTGAAACACTCTCCTGAAAGAAAGCTCTACAAGCAACCTAACACCAAGGTCACGCAAATGAAATGGATAACTCAAAATCACCTAAAATCCTTCTGCAACCCTCTTTGTGCCTTCCTCGACTTTGAATATATAAAGAGACACACCTAAGATATCTCTTCACACACTCTCTCCATGGATACACTTTTTATTGCAGCTACTCTGGCTCTCGCTCTCTCCTCTTTCACAAGAGGCCAGAGAGTGATACAGATTCCACCGCCACGTCCACTGTGCGCGTCTCAATACGCTCTGGCTAACTACGCCTGCTCACGTCTCCCAATGCACACTGTCCCACCACCTGCCCCCATTACCCCACCTCCTCCTCCCATCGCTCCCCCGCCTCCTGACCATGACCACCACGACCATGACCATGACCATGACCACGACCACGATCATGACGATGACCACGATGATGATGATGACCACGACCACGATGATGACCACGATCACGACCATGACGATGACCATGATGATGACGATGACCACGACCACGACCGTGATCGTGACCGTGATCACGATGACCATAACCATAACCACGACCATGACAATGATCACAATGACCATAATAACGACCATGATCATGACAGCGACCACCACAATAATGACGACAACAGCCACGACGATCACCACCGCCGTCGACACCACCGCCACCACCACCGACACCATCATCGACACAGAGAAGAGACGTTTGCGCAACAAGAGTGCTGCAAGTGGTTGAAGCAAATGGACAACGAGTGCGTGTGCGACCTTCTGGTCCGGCTTCCGCCATTGCTAGCCAAACCAATTCATAACTATACAGTCTTTGTGGATGAGTCATGCATCGTCACTTTCGTCTGTGGAGGCAGACTCATTAGCTGATTCTATTTCCTTTCTAAAACTATACTGCCATGTCTTCATCTACTTCTTGGAGAATCATAACCCCTTTGTTTGTCTTCTTTTCTTAGTTGTCATAAACTTTTTATTCACGCCGTTTAGTTTAATTATTGTACGTTCACATTGCATCACTCTCGCTCTGTGTGCGCTTCGTATTCCATTCCTTATGGCTCCCAGGGCATTGAGATTATCGTTAGGCCCATTATTGGAAAAATTAGTTTCAGGCCCGTTTATCGTATTTACACCGCAGTGTGGGGTGATTTTAAAGGACGTCTTCTAATTCTACGTTGACAAAATTTAATCGAATCCATTCTATAATGCAATTTCAATGTGACAAAAAGAAAAGAAAAGAATATGTAGTACTAACAAACAAAACAATAAAAAAAAATCCTAGGAGATGATGATATATTAAACAAAGGAAGATGGAGATTCATGGAATCTTTTTGCTAAAAAAAAGTCGCATTGATGGGACCAATATATAGAATTTAAATTTTCCGGTTATGCTAAAAAGATGTGATTCTTTTACTCGAACTTCTTTTTTTTTGGCAAGTTGTTATTTGTCTTATTGCACTTTGTTCCATATATCTTATAGGGGTTCAAAAGCTACGTCAAAATCATATGTATACGCAATTATTCACATCTACATAAGGTCCTATACATAGAACCAACCAGGCCGAGACCAATGTACATGGAGAAGCTAAAAAGGGGATAAGTGATCAATTTATTTTAAACATATTTATATATTTATGACAATTAGATAGCAAACGGTAATAAGACAAAAATAAAAGGGAGAGGTGGCCACTAGCATCGAGAGACGCCAATTGCACACGAGCTTAGTAGAGAATAATAAAATGGATGGGTTCCAATTAAGAACGCATTAAGAAACTATATGTGTGTGTGTGTGTGGGGCACTCGCATGAATCGAATAATTTGAACATATTTGTCAACGGGCTTAATTCTCTGTACGGCTTCAGGCACGTCCTACTGTTTCTTACTGTACGGTTATTTGCTAATTGCTGCTTCTAATTTTATATAAGTGTATAACTATTAGTATTATTCTTCTTTATCTTCTTTTGTTCCGACTCAAACTAGTTAAAATTTTTGAACTGATTCCATACAGCAAAAGCTGCTGCAATATTTTCAAACTTTGTTGATCATATCATATCATTTGAGTGGTTATAAAGCTGCTGTAAATCACGTTTTAAGAAGTAGTAGTTGTCTATAAAAGGTTTTGGTCTTTAACCTGGAAAAATATATCTAGACCCAAAACATTTTAATTATTTAAAAAAAAAAATTGTTTATAGCTAGCAACTAATTTTTTTCTTGTTCCACAAAACTTGTTCATAATTTATGGTCATAAACTTATATACATATGTGTGCCTGCAGTCAAGATTAACCTCTCTCTCTCTTTTTTTCGCTGTAGTTTTTTTTGGTAAGTAACGGAACTACGGAAGACAATGTCTCCCAGAATTTATTAAATAAAAAATAAACAAACTACATCGGAATTTTTTTTTGGTAAGCAACAGTTTTTTTTTGTTTATCTTTTTTTTTCGCTGTAGTTATTATTGGTTTAGATTTCCCTATTAATAATGAGATATAAACTATATAAATCGTACCAACTTTAAGCCCCACTCAGCTTAGTCGTCGTTATATTATTAAAATCAAATAGTTACAAGGCGGTAGTCTTTACTTTCCAAATATAGCATTCCACTCACAGTCTCACTTACATCCAAAAAAGTAGATGATAATACTGAATAACCGTTATGCCAAAATTTTCAGTATCTGACAATATACGATATGCATATATAATATATTTTATTTTTGTAGGCTTAATTTTTTATATTTTTTCCACCACTCATCGAAGTCTCGTACATTTTCTGATCATAGCCACGTCACCACCACCAATAACCATTGGCGTAAATTTCCGAATTGCGTGGTTACAACTGATCACGCCACTAGACAGCGCGACAACTCGCGTTCCATGGCCGCCGCAACGGCGGTTGAAGCTTCCACGAGCGGCCGACGGCTGGCAATGTCCAGCAGAAACCGCGACACAATATCGGTGCTTGGTCCAGCCACGAGCCTCTCCCAGGCCACGTCAGCATCCGTCTTGGACCTGCGCTTTGTAAAGACCGGAGTCGCATCCACTCTCTGAATGGACCACTTCTTCACTTTTCTCAACCGTTCGATCTTTTCTCTCTGCCTACAAGCTAACTCAAATGTGTTCCTCTTTATGTCTTCGACCACTTTAATTAACAGTTCTTCTCTGTCTTCCACATTCAAGAACTGCTCGTTCCTGAAAAACCTGTCAAACTCTGGAACTCCGATTGCTTTCTTGATCCCTCTTGAGTAATCAGAATCCGAAAAGTCAAAAAAATCTCTAACTTCCTCAACCATTCCATTTTCCACCATCTTGTCAACTCTCTCAGACACGAACCCATGCAAAACGGGAAGTGCCACGTCGACCCATAGAAAACAACAGTCGTATCTCGACCTGAATTTGTTGTCTTCGTCATCCACTAGAGCCTCCACGTAAGAGTTGGAACCTCCAACGATGATTGGAAGCTTTCCCCGGTTTAGGACGGATTCAATGGAGAGATTCGCCATGTGACAGTAATTCGGGGCGGTTAAGTCGGCTTCAGGCGGCAAGACGCCGAGGAGATGATGCGGTACCCCGCAGCTTTCCTCGCTCGTGATCTTGTTGGTGACAATGTCTAGACCTTGGTGGACTTGGATCTTGTCGGAATTTATTATCTCAGCCCGAAAACGTGTGGCTATATCGACGGAGAGTCGTGACTTGCCTGTTCCGGTAGCACCCATGATGACCACAACTTTGTCCTTTGGACCAAATGGGTTTAGAGATAGCATATTGGGACCAAATCTCGCAGGAGGGAAGTCTAACGCCGGCGAAAGAGGCAATGGTTGTTTGCACATAGCCATAGATACCTTCATGATCATGATGAAGCGCTTTGCAGTATAAACTTCAGATGTATTTGATATATTTGTTATGTTTGGTAGGCTTGTATATCTACTTATGAAATGTTCAGGTGACTTTGCATGAAGGATATGATTTATATAGATAGGGTCACACACTTGGAAATGGACACTGTACGAATGATACGACAAGTTGGCTCGCCCCTTTTTTAATTGGTCAAACCTTTTATTTTTTTTACTTTATTCTCCTCTAATTTTATTTAGGCTGGCCAAATATTTGATACGCGTGCAATGCAGATGATACAGATTGATAATGTCTCAATCAAACGTAAACTTCTATTACGTTTGATGTGAAGTTAAGATGCGATTTTTTCTAGGAAAATAACGATTATATGCAAGGCAGAAAGTTTTAAGAAGTAACAAAAATATTATATATATATATATATATATATATATATGTTTATTTGAAAATATGGGTTGTCTAAGCTCATAGTATTTGTTTTTAATAGATTTTTTCACGTTATTAGAGCAGTCGCAATTAATTACCTTGGATGGATTGACATTGTTATTAATCTAAAAACACTTAATAAATTAGGTTATGATGCCTCCTCATGATGATCGGTCTACTAAATATTATATGTATATATATAGATATTCTATATGCCCTAATTTCATAAGCAAAAGTTATGCAGATGTGATTCTATCTCATATTTTGATATTATCATAGAGTCTTTTATATTTCTAGAATAATATAAAGGTTCGATTGGACCGTCCATTAATGAAACGGAGAGGCAAAATTGTTTGTCGACCTGCAATGGCCAAAGACCCCCGGGAACGTCTCTTATTATTACTCTCTCCACTTACGTATAAATCTTAAGACGAAAAAACATAAAGAAAACTTTTTTTTACATTATAATTATATATTCACATGAGATAAGAAATATAATGGTCCGAGAAAGGGCCTTTAAAAAGATTATTCTTACAGCGACAAGTCATAGCTATTGGAATGTAATTTTGCTTGCGAGCTTGGTAATGTAAGCATGCTCCTACACGTCCATGTACGTATCGGATTCCTCCATTCCTATATACCAAAAAAAAATACGGAATAACACATAAATGTATATATATGATATATCCCTCAAGATTTAATAAATTCAACTAAACCCATCTGGTATTTTTTCACTAAAAACTTTTACTAGAGCTAGCTTTGATTAAATTTTAGCCACTCTTCACTAACCATAAACTTGTGAACCAATATCTTTGGTTGGGTAAATTATTTAATTGATATCAAATTGGTGGACTAAACCGGCCAGCTAGCTTATGCGTTTCTTGTTAAATCCTAGCTTTTTGTTGTCTTATCAGATGATTAGTACACTTCAGAATTTTTCTTTATATTTTTAGAAAGTGTCATTCGATTACTCGAATTACACTACACAGCTTCAAATAAAGAATAAATTAATACATCAACCTAAAATATATAAAATGGTACCACTTAAATCTAAGAAAAAAAATATAATCGTTATTTTCTTAAACTTATTCACTTTTAAAATTGTATAGTTTTAACCTTTTCACATACTAAATCAAAATAAGAAATTTTCTTAGATATATTCCGTCGTTTGTAATTTCCATCAAACAATAAAAACTTAAATAAAAAATGTTATTTTAGGTTGGTTAGATCATCTCCATCAGTGTTTCTAATAGAGAAATTTAATATTAAAAAATATATAAAGTTAGAAAAAATAGGAGAAAAAGAAAGAAGAGTTTCTCAAGTGAGAAACCATGAGAAACGTTTCTCATATAATATTGTCATTTATCAACCACTTATTAATTTAGTTCTTAAAATTTAATTAAAATAAATTTTTTTTTTTTTGAGATACTAACAACAATATCTTTCCGTTAGAGATGATCTTAGATACTTAAATAGTTACATATATGCGTGCTAGCTCGTTCATGATAGATACGAAGAAAATAAAATAATTGGGATAAGAAGCTTAATGATTGATTGACGTTAACCCAACGCCCACGTTTGTAAAATAAAATACTATTATAAATCTATCGTGATAAAAAGTAAATAATACGACCAATAAGGCAGTCACGCCTACCTTTGCGCATTAACTTTCTTTTTATCTCTCTTTCAGTAATCATTCGTAAGAGATACACACCTGCGATTTTTGTTGTTGTTTTTTACTATTGCTCCAAATGTGGAAACTGTATTGCAAGTTACAAATAATAACGACAAAAATAGAATTTGCAGGTGGAAATTTAGCGTAGCTATCCAATTTTAGGATAAACTTAAAACGGTTTTATCTCACTCAAACATTTAAACTTTAAAGAAAACAAAAAAACTTCATGCCTACTTCGAACTTTTTTTTTTTTTCGTCAACCACACATTCATTAAAAAGTAACTCCATGATTGGTTGCCCAATTAGGAAGAGAAGAGTTTACAAAAGTAACATTAAAAAATAGAAATATATATAGAAGAACGGGCTAAACAGTCCACTTTAATATTACATAAACGAGGAATAAAAAAAAGCGAGAAAATGAGAAAAGAGACACGAAACAATTCCAAATCGTCTAGCAGATCAAACGTTTTTTCGAAATATATATTTGAGAAATTCATATAAACATGCATTATCTACAAAGATAAGTAAACAAATGTTTTTTGTCACTATCTAGAAAAACCAAAACAGAACTACAAACCTAAATGTTTTTTAATTCCGTTTTCTAAGTAATTTTTATGGTTTTCGAAAATAAATTTATTTTCATAAGCGCAACTTAAAACTTTTTTCCATTCAAAATTTAAACCAAGCCTGCACGCTTAATAATTTTACATTTTACATACAGTATCTCATAAAATTCCAAGAATCATTATTTCGCATGATCTTTGATCAATAAACTTTGTCCCATTCAAAAATAAAACCAAGCCTGCGCTTTTATGATTTAAGCACACGTACATACATAAACTAATACGGTTATAAAACATAATTTCCATAATTTCGTTCGTGTCATCTTAATAAAAAAAATTATCTCTAACAATGGAAAGTCATCCTCCTTCAAATCATCCCCCATTCCATCGGGTTCGTTTCTTATTTTACCTTATACGATGACCAAGACTTGTTTTTGTGATATCATTTTTATTTTGGTTTTATTTGTTGTCTGTATACAGCAGCAGACTCGTGTTCTGAAACTGGAACCCAAATGTTGTAACGAATGTGCGAGGAAGGTGAAACGAGCCATGCTAAACGTTGAAGGTGATTAATTTAGATATGCATATATATATTTACCGTTTCTGATATATAACTAACTAGTTTGGTCGATTTGAATCTAATTAGCAATGGTGGATCTATGAATAGGAGTGCATTCGATAAAGGTTAATGCAAACGAGGGGACGATAGAAGTAAACAGTGAGGTCGACCCACAAGTGCTTATCGCAATGGCAGCTAAAGCCGGCAAACGAGCCGAGCTTTTGTGGGAACCTGAACCAGAGTCTCCTGATGACATTTCGACGGTAACACCTCCGCTCGCCATGCCATCAACTTGCCGACGTCAGGTCCATATCAGCAACTTTGACGGATTTGAACAGACAGTACACCTACAGAACTTGGTTGATAAGAACGCTCGTGGGATCAAACACATGGATATTATCGACAAGAGGGTCATCAGAATAACGTTTAAGGAGTCACATGATGATCCCAGTAGCGACCACTCACTGGACTCACCATCTCCAATCGCACCACCGTCCTCTGACCCTAAGAATAGCAATGGCGGTGGTGGAGAGGCCAGTGGTTCAGGTGCTTGTGGTAATGTTGGGGCTCCTGCTACTGCTGCTGAACCAACCCCCAAGATCAACGATGCTCCTTGTAACGGTAAAGCAGCAGAACCTCCGCTTGCTAGTGTGAATTGCAGCAGCAGAGGGAATAGTTGTCGTTTGATGTAAAGTACAGATCTATTTAGTTTAACTAGTATCAATGGAAACGACATTATAGCAACTTCTAAAAGAATGAGTTGGTAGAGATTTAAGAATTTTTACTACACAGTTGTCACAAACAATTAATCTTGCAAAAGAATCATCACTACCAAAACACAAAATCCTATCTTACCCTTGCCTCACGAGTTCCTGATCAGCGTGCTGTCGTTTGAGAGCAGACAGAGTCGGGTGTCCTCTTCTGCCAAGTCTCTTTGTTGGCTCGACATGCTTCTTTTATCGGCCACTCGATCTGGAAGCCGTCGCTGTTCTGTTTTTCTAACTGACAACAATGTGTGTGAAACGTCTGAGGATCTACCTGAAGCTTGAAGTCAAGGGTGAACAACAACTCCATCTCCAATCTGTTTAACTCTCTCGTGCTGACACCTCCAACTCTCGCATAGTATGCATTGTTGAAATACCTGCACAACACAAGAGACCAATGAATTTATGATTTAAATGAAATATGACATCAACTACATTGTCCATCTTAAAGTTGCAAAAAGAAATAGTGATGGACTCTGTTTCCTTCCTAATTGTTCCCCGGTTTTTTTCTTATTTATGTGTTGATCTATAAGCAGTTTCATACCAAAGGGTAAACGTGCACTGAGTTCCTATCAAGTGCTAGTGGCTAGTGCTACTAGAATGAACACAATCTTAACAGATAAAGCAATTGAAATGGAAAAAGCGAAGCTAGGACTCAAGTAACATACCTATCATCGAAGACTTTAGCGGCTAACATGACACTTGTTATGATAAGGCGGTGGACATTAAGCGGTTTTAGAGGGGCTCGGGTCTTCTGGAGAAAGTGATCAATGTAGATATGTGCAATGACGAAGCAGGAGGGGCTGCAGCAAGAGTACTTGAAAATGCGATCCAAGTAGTGTGAAATGCTGATCTCAGGCGGAGATCTCCCATCAAAGACGGTAACAGAGTCTGGCGATTCAGTCAGAATATTGTCATGATTGAGAAACAGAGATCTCTCCAGAGATGAAGAGAGGCGGGAGAGAACAGTGGGTGGCTTTTTCAATCGTTTGCCCTCAATGATAAGTCCTAATCTGAGGTATACATCCGAATCAATGAAACCTGGATCGGTTGCGAGAGAGCCCATCTCTGCAATGACGATGATGGCATAAAAACGGTAACTTTGGGAAATTAAGCATAAAAAAATCATCTCTTTATTATGAGGGTTTTGAAATAGAAGACGTAGTAGGTAGAGTGAATAAAGAGTAGGTGAACTAAATCTAACTAAGAACCTAAATCCTCTCTATTAATTCTCATACCTACCAAGAATCATCAAGAATTAGGAATATTGTGGAAGAAGAAAGAGGAACTTACGAGAATTAAGTGGAAGAAGTTGGTTATTGAACTAGAGAAGGTCCAGAGATTGGAAGAAAGCAGATCTATCTCCGGCGCTTCTCCATTGTTGTTGCTCTGAAGCTAAAAAGCTAAAAGAAGCCGCGAAGAAATGTGAAGAAGAAGGAAAGTTTCCATTATTATTATTGCCTTTATTTATTTTTTAAGGGTTTTAGATTTTTAATATTAAAAAAAAAGGGACAGAAGGAAGGAGTGATGTGTGGTAGAGAGAGACAGTTCACCGTCCAGCTGGTGGCCCACCGTCTCACCTTCATCATCGCTGCGGTGCCAGTCTTTTTCCATTAGGGCTACTGTAGTATTATTTTAGTAGTAGTAAGGTATAATAATAATAATAATTGAAACGAAAGAAGAAGACTGGGCTTTCTAAAATAGTGAATATGGGCTTTTATATGGGTTTTGTATTAGGGTTGTTGTGTAAAGGGGGCTTAATTGTCATTTCAGAGATAGAAGAAACCCTAATCTCCCACTCTTTTGATTGATTTTTGAAAATTGATAAATATATATTTTTTTTTTTTAAAAAAGGCATCTCTCATACTCGTCACGCAGATCCTCAATGATGCTCTCACTCTGCTGCTTCTCATTCACGCTTCTCTGAATTACCTTTTCCTTTTTTCTTTTTCTCCGTCCGATATTGGCAAGCCCCAATCTCGTCGTAGAGAGACCCATTTCCATCCATCCGCTGTGAAAAAGGTAACCGTCCGTCGTGTACTATCTATCTCCTCTTTGAAATCTCTTCTTCTCGTTGTACATGTTGATTTTGAGGGTTTCCTTTTATAAAGTCTTCTCTTCGTCTAAAAATGCAGTTTTTCTTCTGAAATTAGGCTCCTTTTGTATCTACAATAGAAATGTAGTTAGATTCTTCTGGATCTACATGTTATCCTCTTTTTGTTTTAGTTTGAATTCTTATTAATATGTTTTTCCTTTGTATTGAATTACAGAAGAACCAAGTAGTAGAATGGATCATTCACAGAACCGTGTTTTGTCAGTCAAGATGTGGCCACCGAGTAAGAGTACCCGCCTCATGCTTGTTGAGCGGATGACCAAGAACATTACCACCCCTTCCATCTTCTCCAGGAAGTACGGTCTTTTGACTCTCGAAGAGGCTGAGCAAGACGCCAAGCGCATTGAAGACTTGGCTTTTGCTACTGCCAACAAACACTTCCAGAACGAGCCTGATGGTGATGGAACTTCTGCCGTTCAGGTCTATGCTAAAGAATCCAGCAAGCTCATGCTTGAAGTCATCAAACGAGGTCCTCAGCAAGAATCCGAGGTTGAGGTGAGCAAGGATGGGGATATCTTTTTTGATATATCTGGTGGGAGCAGAGCATTTATCGACGAAGAGGAGGCACGCCAGCTTTTGAGGCCTTTAGCTAGGCCGCATAACTCCTTCACCAAAATCCGTTTTAGCAACAGGAGTTTTGGCTCTGAAGCTGCCAAATTTGCTGCCAGCGTTTTGTCTTCCATCAAGGATCAGTTGACGGAAGTGGATCTCTCGGATTTTGTTGCTGGAAGACCAGAGGCAGAAGCACTTGAAGTCATGAATATGTTTTCATCTGCTTTAGAGGGTTCTAAGCTTAGGTATCTGAATCTCTCGGACAATGCTTTGGGAGAAAAGGGAATTAGGGCATTTGCTTCTCTCATCAAGTCTCAGAATGACTTGGAGGAGCTTTATCTGATGAATGATGGCATTTCTGAGGATGCTGCCCGTGCAGTTCGTGAGCTACTTCCTTCTACTGGTAAAATCAGGGTTCTTCAGTTCCATAACAACATGACAGGAGATGAAGGAGCAATTGCCATTGCAGAGATTGTCAGGCACTGTCCATCTTTGGAAGATTTCCGGTGTTCATCTACAAGGATTGGTTCAGAAGGTGGTGTTGCGCTAGCTGAAGCACTTGAACACTGTAGCCACTTGAAGAAACTTGATCTTCGCGACAACATGTTTGGAGTCGAAGGTGGAATTGCCCTGGCCAAGACTTTATCAGTGTTGACTCATTTAACTGAGATCTATATGAGTTACCTGAACTTGGAGGATGAGGGAGCAGAGGCACTTTCTGAAGCTCTACTTAAGTCCGCCCCTTCTCTTGAAGTTCTAGAATTGGCTGGGAACGATATTACTGTAAAATCCGCTGGAAATTTGGCAGCTTGCATCGCCTCCAAACAGTCTCTTTCAAAGCTGAATTTATCTGAGAATGAACTCAAAGACGAAGGGACTATCTTAATCGCAAAGGCAGTTGAAGGTCATGATCAGTTAGTTGAAGTTGACCTGAGCACCAACATGATCAGAAGAGCTGGGGCAAGAGCCTTGGCACAAACTGTTGTGAAGAAACATACTTTCAAGCTTCTGAACATTAATGGAAACTTCATATCTGAGGAAGGTATTGACGAGGTAAATGACATGTTTAAGGACTCTCTTGACAAGCTTGTTCCTTTGGATGACAATGACCCTGAAGGAGAAGATTTTGAAGATGAAGACGAAGAGGAGGAAGGCGAAGATGACAATGAATTGGAATCAAAGCTTGGAGGTCTGAAAATCAAGCAAGAGGAGGAATAGGAGGAGGTAACATGATGTGATGCTTTTGTTGCTATGTAGGTAGGTTCAGTGTTATCTCTCTCCCTGGATTCGGTAAACCTAGTTAAGTAGGTATGTAAGGATCTAAAATTGTCTTCAGTTCTATTTCCTTGAAGCGAAATTGTTATCTTCGTGTAAACCAGAATTGTTGTTGCTCTTGTGGTTATGAATATTTAAATGATCTTTTAGCTGAAATCATGTCCCTCTCATATGAGCCGGGGAAAAAAACAGCACAGGGTAGCATTAGAAGTTACAAATGAAGAAGAAACTTTATGGCCTATTTTGATCAAGCCGCCACTGGAGTTTTGAGGGCTTCTAGTATCTTATCGTCTAACTCAAACTTGATCTCTTTTTTGTCTCTGCCAATCTTCACATACTCTTCAAATCTTTCCTTGAGATCTTCAGGCAGATTCGTTTTACTTTCCCACCCTAATATCTCCTTTGCGGCTCTTGGCTCTGCGTAGAAATGCTGCGACCGTACAAAGACAAGGTTATAAAACTAATAAGTGAAGTAGGAGAAGAGCTTCTACTGGGTTTAGTTTACCATGTTTCTGAATGGAAAAGCCTTCTTGGCGTCAACCCCAATGGCTTTGGGGTCATAATGAACGATCTCAACCGTTTTGCCAGCAGCGGCAGCACATAGCTTAGCCATACCGTCAAGAGTGACGGCCCTGTCGCTAACGCAGTTGAAGATGTTGCCAGACGCAGCCTTGGGGTTGGTCACGGCAGAAGTCAGCATCGAAGACAAGTCCCTCACGTGGGATATGTTGGTTAGCTGCAATCCTGATCCTGGGATTGGCACTGCTCTGTCCCTCACAATCCCTGGGAACACATTTTAACCATTACTTGTTTTGTCTTGTGATGAAATCTTTGGGGATTGAGAGACTTACGGTCGAAGAACCATTCTTCGCAGTCTTTGTTGTTGCCAGAGCCAATCATGTACTGTGGTCGAAACGAGGCCCAGTTACCGAATGTTTCAGCTAAGTACTTCTCCACTGCCACGTGGCCTGCGTCAGCTTTAACTGCGTCCTGCACATTGGAGAAAAGGAGACATAAGTGGTGAGAACTGAGAATGTTATGGTTAGTGTTTATTTACCCCTTCAACGTGAGGAGGTTGTTCGGTGGACTTGTAGATCCCGGCGCTGCTTATGAACAAGAATTGCTTCACGCCGGAGCTTTTAGCCCAATCCACCACTGGCCTATGACCGACAAATCCAAAAGGATATATGATCATCAATTCTCAATATCCATGGAGATTTTTTTTAAAAAAACCTATGAGGCTCTGTAGTTAAATAATCAGACCTGACAGTATCCAAATCCTTGCCATTGTTGTCAAGGACAACGTCAAATGTTTCACCTCCGACCACATTGGCAACATCGGCAGGGTTACCCCACACCGTCTTTCCTCCACCACTGATAATTTCCTGTCAACAGATCAAAGATTGCATCGGTCGGAATCAGATTCAAAAACTCAAAACTGGTGGAAATTTGTAAATCTTACGGAGAATCGGTTGAAAGGAGGTTTCTTCATCTTGTCGGAAGATTCATCGCCGACGGTCATGATGGTGACCCCATGTCCGGCGGAGAGAAGCTCTTTGGCGAAGTAAAACCCGATCACGGCGTGACCGCCGCTGTTGGTGTTGACTATAAGTACATTCTTCTTATCACCGACGGAGCTGGCCTTAACGGTAAAGCCCTGAGGAGATAACCTTCGAGAAGTCCTCAGAGAGAATGTCAAGAGAGAAGAAGAAGAAGAAGAAGAAGAAGAAGAAGAGAGAGAGGAAAAGGAGGAAGATGAAGAGGGTAGAGAGAAGCGGTGGAGAGATGGCGGGATCAGGAGATTACTGATCGGAGAAGTTGTTTTGGAGGAGAAAAACAGAGAGGAGGATGATAAAGCCGCCATTTTTTTTTTTTTTTGTTGGTTAAGATTTGCCTTACTCTGTTCTGACTTGAGGTTTGATCCTCAGAGAACCAGAAGAAATATGTAAGGCTCTTGTACAAGATAACAACATCCAACGGTCGGTCCATTTCTTTCATCTCGCCTTTTTATTTTATGTGATTGTTATATCCCTAACTACCACTTTCTAGATTGGGCCAAATTATTAAACTGGGCCCATTTATGTAAATACGCGAGTGTTTTTTCCCCTCTTTTAATTCTCACATTAAATTGTCTACATCTAATTCTAATCTCATTTGTGTCTTCATAAACAATTTGTGGTTGAGCCAAAAAAAATATGGAATTTTTCTTCTTGAAAAAATAAATGGTCGTCTTGTATATATCTTCAATGAAACATAAACAAATGTTAAAATTGGTTCCTCGAAGATGAGCCAAAAATCCAACCCACACACCTCAATCAAAAGCATGTCACACTTGAACTGCAAAATCTCTGGTGTGAAGGAAGCGGATATTTGAAGCCATCTATGAGGGTTACCTTTATTCTATACAAAGCGGATGAATCGCTAGAGAAAAACATCAAGTATTTATTCGGTGGGAGCAAATCTTCAGGTATTCTTCCTTGCGGAATAAGCACGGTAAGCTGCCAATCCG